GACAAATTTAATTCTGTAATTCTTCTGTAATTTCTATTAATATCTATAAATTTAACATATCTATTTAAAATATAAAAATATGTTATTTATTATACATAATATTTTTTACATAAATAGTTTTTATATTTGCTATAATTTATCTGTTACAAATTCCATTATAACGAATTGACGATAATTATGTTTGGGATGGATCAATTTGGTCTGGAATGTTCAATTAACTATAACCATTGCACTGTAATGGGAATTATCATAGGTTTTACAAAATGCAGTTGTCAAAGTGGTTATTCCTACAGAAAGGTATGTTGTTATTTCTGCCAATTAAAAATAGATATACCACAGTACTTTGCTTATAAATATTAAAGAAGTAAGTTTTTATGTTATAGAAATTTAGTTATGTTAATACATAGAATGGTAGAATTTGTAATTCGGGAAGGCCCTATGTTCGAAGCAATGATCATGAATCGAGAATTAAATAATCCAATGTTTAGGTTTGTATAATGTCAAGTAACTATGAAAAGTTAATATTTTGTTACATTATATATATATTAATGATATTTTAATTTTAGATTTTTGTTTGAAAATTATTCTCCAGCACATATTTATTATCGTTGGAAATTATATTCCATATTACAAGGAGATGGACAAAAGGAATGGCGCACTGAAGACTTCAGGATGTTTAAAGGTGGAAGTGTGTGGAGACCTCCTCCTATTAATCCATGGACACAAGGAATGCCTGATGAATTGATTGAAATGGAAGAAAGACAAGAACCTAGAAGAGGCAGTTTGTCAAACAGGTGTTACAAATATTCTCTTTACTAATTTTATTTATGATTATTAAAATCCTTTTTCAACATTTTGTTATATTTATATTTATAGCCAACGAGATCGATTAGAAGATTTATTACGCAATATATCGCCTGAAAGGATAAAAGTTGCAGAGGCAATGGTATTTTGTATAGAGCATGCTGAAGCAGCAGAAGAAATCTGTGATTGTATTTCGGAATCATTGTCAATATTACAAACTCCTGTTAATAAGAAAATTGCGAGATTATATCTCATATCTGATATATTACACAATTGCGGGGTAAAAGTAAATAATGCTACCATTTATCGAAAGGCGTAAGTTGTTTTATTTTAGTTATAAAATGTTTAAATTTTAATTTTAAAATATACAAATTAGTGATTCATTAATTGTATTTGTGTCTGTTATATAGTAGTTAATGTAATTGTTGATATGAATTGACATCAGTAAATGTATTTTTAATGCAGGTTTGAAACTCGACTTTTGGATATATTTAACGAAGTTCATCAAGCTTATAAACAATTTGATAGCAGATTAAAAGCAGAAGGATTTAAAGTTCGTGTAATGAGAATGTTTAGAGCATGGGAAGATTGGGCAGTTTATCCACGAGACTTTCTTGTTAAATTACAAAACACCTTCCTCGGCCTTGTTTTGGTAAATTTAACGCTGTATATCGTAAATCCTTCGTATTAACGAAATAATGGGAAGTAAGCGCGAAAGGTAAAAGTAAAAGGTAATTTTATTTTTATAGATAGATGAACCAGAGCCAGAAAATGATGAAGATATTGATGGAGCACCTTTATCAGATGTAGATGGAGATGGTGCAGAAGATTTGGATGGAGTACCATTAGACGGAGCTGCTCTTCTTAAGGGTGCTATGAAACATGGCTTAACACCACAAACAACATCTAATTATGATGACATTGATGGTGTACCTAGTAAGAATATTTGAATTGTACAGTGTTAAAACATGTGAACGATATTTATAAAGTATGATTCTGGACATTAAGACAATGACGAAAATTCGTGTACAAAAGTGACACTAATTTTTTAAATTATAAACAATTTAATTTTACGCTAGAAATACAGCTATATTAGCTACTGTAGGCCAATGGATCAGCTAACAAAACCTTTCTCTCTATTTTACTTACACTTTGCGTTCTGAGGGAACAAAGTGAGAAGCCTCAAAGCTTGGGTGCATGAAGTGTGAGCGAAATACAGAGAAAGGACCATCAGCTGATTCATTGATCCACGCCTACGCAATTGTCGGTATATCTATAGCACAAAACTAAAGCAAGCCTTAAGTAATATTTTTATTACATTAACTTTCTCTATAAATATCGCTTTTTCTTTGCACTGTGTATTTTTATTATTACTCGCTATTTCATATAGTTAGTTTCATATAGTACATATCATCATATGTTTTCAGTGGATGAGGATATAGATGGCGTTCCTATGGATGAAGATGACTCTTTAAATGTACAAAGTAAAGAAGACGATAAAAAACCATCAATTCCTGCGGGTTTTGTACCATCTCGTTGGGAAACTGTTGACCCTGATCAGGTTGAGACAATTATTTTGCAAGAGGAAATTGTGTTAAATGAATCGCTTTTCAAGTCGAACTAGGTTCAAATTGTAGTGATCTAATTGTAACAATAGTAAAAAGTTGTAAAAAAAAAAAATGGCGGGGAAATGTCCTGTGATTAGCTATTTTTAAGGAAAATAGATCACGATTTCTTTTATAGTACTATTTTATGTTTCTCATTTTATAGAATAAGTTATTTTGTTATATCAGGTTGAAGCACAAGCTATGACAACTAGTAAATGGGAAGAATTAGGTCAAAATGATGATTCAAATTCTCAAGATACTAGTATGGATTCCAGGTAATACATAAATGTTCGACTGTTTCTTATTTTTTCAAATAATGTAAATATTACACAGCAATTAGATTAAAGAAATACTATATATACACACATCATCTTTGCATGTTTCAAGTAATAATCTGATGTTTTAATAAAATTATTAATTACAATAATCTTTAATTTGATAGTGGTAGAGATTACAATGAAGAAAGAAGGAGCCGATTGCGCGAAATTGAAGTTAAAACAATGCAATATCAAGATGAATTGGAAAGTGGCAGAAGGACACTAAAATCTGGTATGACGATTCAAGGACAGGTAGAACATTATAGAAAAAAACTGATAAGGAAGGTAAAATTTTCTGCTTATAACATTATTTTAAGTTCTAGTATAATCTAGTAGAATAGATTTTATAAAATATTTTTATCATAGAGTTTTTATTATACAATGATTAAATCTTTTATTATAGAGTGAAAGGGAAATGAAAGATGTAAAAAGCGAAGAACGTGACGATGAACGACGAAGAGAAAAAAAGCGAAGCACGACTCCAGAATCTCCAAGCCATTATAGAGATCGAAGACGGAATTCGACAAGTCCATCAGCTAAAAGTAATAGATATAGGTAAATATTCTTAAAAAATAATCTATCGCAGAGATTCCGATTCAATATGAAAAAAATATATAACAGAAAGATAGTTCAAACAACAGTTCATTGACATTACATAAAGAATATATGGGTATTAAAAAGACACTAATAATATCCTCTTGTTACAAAAGAGTTGATGATATTTTGTGTTTTTTTTTTTAACAGTATCATACTTTATATTACATGTTAATAAGAAAAATTTGCAAATTATTCACTAATAAATAACGACTATTCGTAAAGCATGCACAAATAAACTATACCAAACAATTACAGACATTTTCAGAAAGTAGACAGTGATTAAAGTGAGTGCCCAAACTGCATCACACTTTCTGAAATACATTTTTGCTTTTTCTTCAATGAATTCTAATGCATTCTAATGAATTCTGCAGCTAAATACTTTACATATATGTTATATATTACAGTTTTAGGAAAATTTATGGACTATGATTTAAATACAAATCAAATTATTTTATCATGATTAATATATAATGATATAAATATAAATTGAAAGATATATCGTTATTTAAAACAATCTAAAATAACACCAATTTTGATGAAAAGAACTCGTCAAAATAGAACAGCCAATACGTGGAATATCCTATATTTAAAAGTGTGAAAGCAATTAACAGTTTCAATTATAAAATGGGCTTCAAACCTAGATCATAATATTATTACAAAATATTCATTTTATTCAATCAATTTATTCATTAAATTTCAGATCACGCAGTAGATCACCACGTGGTAAACGTAGATCGCGATCACCATATAAAAAGAGAGTACCAATGACACCATCTCCGCCACGTATTCGACGAACACCTTCTCCTTCTTTTTCATCCAGAATATCTCGTAGATCACCCAATAGTGAACGAAATGACAGAAAAAGAAGGGCTAGATCACCATCATTATCACCACCACCTCCACCACGTACTTCGAAACATAGAGCTAATAGTCCCCCTTCTCCATCTTCACGCAAATATAGACATAAGCATAAATATTAAGATACTTTACATTTTTTCTATATTATAATGTTAATAGAATTACAAAACAAATTACGTTACAGAAATTGTTACATAAAATTAATGAATGCAATACTAATTGTGTATTCAATAGTTTACAATAATTTTCTTTTCTTTTAATGTTTTCCTTCCTACAACTATCTTTAAGTGAATTTATTTTATATGCATATGCTGTTTATATATATGATATGTGACAAACGTGTGCATAAAAAACAGAGCGATAGAATACTTAATTATAATAAAAAAGGATTCTATTTATACATATACCTTTATTTATATTACTAGTATATAACCGCATTATATGTATAAAAAAAGTGTACAGATTTAAAACTAAAAGGTGACTTTCTTATTCCCTTTTGTCACTTTATTGTAATTATGTAGTTGAAAATAAAATTAATTAGAGTATTTGAAATATTTGAAAATTAAATTTCATTACATTGCTCCGTGCATGGGCACTTCAGATATTTTTCATGAAAAGTATTACATAAAAATTTTGTCGGATTATACATAAATTGATTAGTTCATGTATAAATTTGTAACAAATATATTGTCAAAAAATGCTTTCTAATACAGTTTTAATTTCTATTATTTAAGCACATCCGATTAAATATATGTAAATAAATACATTATTAAGTTATAATGTTTAAATTCCTGTTCTTTGTAAAATAGCACAACAGTGACATATTTTGAAAGATGTATTTGCAAAAATTTGGTGTTCATATAACGAAAAACGATACAATAAATGAAAAACTTAAACAACTAATCCAACAATTACAATAATTTATTCCCAACATACTCCTAATATTTTCATGATTTCTTAATTGCACAAGTAAGTGTTTAATTAGATAAAGAAAATTGAAAGTCGCATAATAGATTGTACTTTCATAAATGAAAAATGAATCCTTCCCCAATAGTTCTAATTCTCTATATATTTTCTGATTAGTTGAGTACTAATCACATGTTAAAATTTTTACGTGTGCTCCATTTTCTTTTAATTGTGTTAAGCATATTTTTAGTAATGCAATTACTTCATCACTTTTCATTTCTTCTGTTTCTGGTAAAACTCAGAAATATGCTAATGGTTGTTTCCATCTCTTCTCCATTTTTTTTCTTTGAATTATAGATTCAGACCCACCTCCGTATTGTGCTCTCAGCTGGTAAATGACATCCGCTTATCCTTAGTTTATTATAAACTGATGCAGAATTGTAAAATATCATTTTTGCTAAATCTTGTTCTTCGGTTGTATATGACAAATTTTCACCTTTCAGTTGCAACTTAATGAAAGTCCTTACGACGTTGCTTTTACACCCATGTCTATCTAAAAATTCATCCACAGTCTCTACTTTGCGCAACTTGTTATAAAAATGATCTCTGGAGGTTTTGATTCGTTTGACTTTTTGTTTCAGATATTTTAATTGTGCTTTTAAATCTCTATTCTCTTTCATGAGCTGAACACATTCATTTTCCAATTTCACTTCACAAAATGTTTTATTTTGAGAATTTTCAATTTGTACTTTGTAGTTTGTCATTTCTGGTTCAATCATTACCCATTGCATTGTATCCTCATTGTCACAAAATGTAAATGGCACTCTTGTATAATTCAGCAATGGTTTATTAACACGTAATTCTTTTTCTTCTTCTTCTTTTTTTGCTACCTCTTCTTCTCTTGCATTTTGTTGTTGCTGTTGTCGTTGTTGGTAGTCGCATTGTTGTTCGTCCCCTTTTCCTCCTTCTTCATTTCCTTTTTCCCCTTCTTCTCTCACCAGCTGTCTTTCATGTACATCCTCTTCTTTTTCTTCTTTATTTTCTAATATATCTTTTGGTGGTTGAGGTACAGCATCCATTTTCAACATTTTCCTTCTACTGATATTTTGTGTACGGTTTGGTTTAAACATTTCAGGTGAGAAATGTTCAGCACAGATACCCATTCTTCTTATGGTAGAGCTAGCATAATATTGTAGAGCTGGATTGCCTGATAAAGAGTAATAAGAAATATAAAATATAGGTAGCAACAGAAAGTAATATAGATAGAAAGAGTAATATTGATATAGAAAATTAACAAATGCCAAACATACATAACATACAGTATCAACACCCTGTACTTACCAACTCTTGAAATCCATTCTTTACGAAGCGGATTGTTTTCTTTCGGAAAGCAATAAAGATGATTTCCTCGAAGTCGACTATTGTTACATTTTATGTAGGCGCAAATATCCACTAATCTAGCTGCTATGTTCCTCTGCAAATCCATAGCCTGAAAAAACCTAAAACAGACTACAAAAAACAGTATGCAAATTCAAGAAAATTTGCTCTTTTAGTACAAAGTACGAACGAACGAACGAATGAAACGAAGATTCAAATAAATGGAAATTATACTACACAGATATTGGTCATCCAACGTCGTTCATACATGCAAAGAATTAGATCGATTTAATTTTTTCGTCCGATTTGTTACGACTGAAGATACATGAGCTAGATCTTTCAAATGAAATTTCTAGTTAAAATTGTTCATAATAACAGTGTGGCCAACAGTTTAGACCAACTAAGTCTAAGCGAATGCTCGCTGTTCGCCGCATTTTAGTAAAATTTGATAAAATGAAACTGCAAACGAGCATTCGTTATTTAAATTTAAATCTAATTATATATAATCTAAATATGTGTAAGAAATCATTCGCTTATTACTTCGCCGAACTCCGAACGAATGCTTGATTACACTTTCATCTGATAATATGTTTTTATCCTGCGGCTTTTTCACAAATAGTCCATTAATTTATAATAATTTATAATGCATTAATTAAAACTATTATAGCATTAATTCGTAGCAATTAAAATTAATGATCTATTTTATTCTATCTATTATCAACAAAATCTTTGAATTCTTTCAAATGGTATTTTATTTCCATTTAATTCTATTTTTTAGTTTTAAATACGGTACTTAATCTATATCCGCTCAAACCAAAGCCATCGGTTGCTCACGCTGAACTTCCCGCTCAGGCCGATTTGATAATTTCACATAAGAAGAAACATTATCACGAAATGTTTCATAATTTATTATTAATTGATACGTAATTGTCATGTTTAGTGTAGTTATCATACCGCGAGTCATTAAAAGTTTTGCATTTTTAAAGTTTGGTACTTTTAGCCTACTGTATAGCTTACTTTAGATTTATTTAACATTGGTTTACTTAACGTGATAGCCATTTAAGTCGAGATTGTTTATTTGTGCGAAACTATGATATAAGGTACAACGTAGATAATTATTCACCGCATATTTAAACGTATTAAATAAACATTACATTCTGCTATGTTCTTATACATTTGAATAATGAACGGTTGAATACGGAAATGCAGCAAGAACTTTGATTTATATTTGCAAATAATTTTATGTGCAAAATTGAATAAGACGTGTAAGGCATGGATATACGAAAAGCTTGCCGCGTATAACTTGCCCTAATATCGATACGAGTTTGTGAGATCCCTTATTCGAGAAAGGATCAGACTCCTTATCACCGCATTATTACGAGCAGTTCGCAAATCACTTTACCATTTAAAAGATGCGTAATTTATTTTTTTATATATTTTTAAATTTCTGTTTAAACTTTCCAAAGTTTGTTGCTTGGACATTTATAACGGGCATATACACAACGGAGCCCCGAGTATAAAAGTCGTTGAATTATATTTTTAAAATCAAGGCTTCAATATTCTAACACTATTCTAAGAGGAGATAAAATCAAAATTGAAATTAATTTAATTCAACCTGCTAAAATAATTAAATATTGTAATCCATTTTAAATACCTTTATTAACCCATCAGGGCTACGTCTGTACGTCGTACGGACTCTCCTTTCGTTCACACTGGTCAAAACACACTAGTCGCTAGTAAAACATTAGTGAGAAATGAGAATGAAAGTAATGCATCTGATGATTCAACACAAATTCATTCTTGAGGTTCACGCCATGGTCACCAGAGTATTGTATTGCAACAGTTAATTGTCCACTATATTAATAAGCCACAATACGTAACGAAACTATGTTTAACTTTTATATACATTATACATGTAAATTTTACTATTATAATCATAATAGCAGTGTCTCATTACAGTGTAAACAAAGATTTTAGAAAATAGGGATGTTTTATGTAATATGTTCATAAAAACATCCTAGAAGAAATAGCTTGATGTTGAGAGTGGGATAGTCAATATATACTTGAAGCTTTTCTCCTTAAGTGACAGTAATGATCGGTTAACTGAGCATGTAAGAAGAAGAACGATAAGTGACTTCCTTTTTGTCTTGTCTTATTAGATCCAAGTAATATTACACAGAACTGTAAGTATTAACGTTCAAGTATTCTATTTTTCAACAAGAAAAATCCAATCTGAAATTGAAAATCTGATCTACGATTTATTTTAACAGAGTAGATATGTAACGAAACAGTCTTGATAAGTTTGATATATGACGTGAAATTTTATGACTAAATTATGCGTATTTAGGCAAATAAATTCAGATGTTTGTCTGTGGTATGTTTCCTTTATACTTCCAGTAAAGCTATCATGTATTTTATTAAGAAGAGAAAAGAAAAAAGTTTGATTATTTGATTATTCTCTGTGATATATCGGTTATGCCCCGTATAATGTATTGTTTTTTATAAATTGAGTTAATTATTTTCCTCAATGCACCGGCTATTCCCGAATTGTTTTGTGTAATTTACTTTATTATTTTTTATCAATTTTTAAGTTTTTAATAACGATACCTTTTCTCAACAATGAATTGCTAATATTTTATCGAATAAAAATGTAATCCTTCCACGTTTTGCTTTACTTTTATCGCAAAATTTATAATAGGAGCATTTACTCTGCGATCGACGTGTATACTCATCAATGCTTGATTTTATCTGCGCATCCCATAACGGATTTTTGAAACTAAACTCCGCGGTTAACAAGTTAAAATATATATATACGGATATTTTTGTATCATAAATTTACACAAGTCGAAATTAATTTGAAATTACGTTATGGGTTAATAGATTACACTCAGCTAAGGTTGTCAATGATAACTTACCGACCTTTCGGTACCGAAGATGTCTGAATGATGGTTTCTAGCAATTTCGATTTACGATTATATAGCATGCAATGTACTGAAAATTTCAAAGTCATTCGTTATGCAAGTAATCAAATGAATTTTTAATACTTTTCATGATACTCTATAAGTAGGTATACGTTATTTATTCATAAACAATTCTATTTATTAGTATATTTATCAGTAATTTAGTATACAAGTATATATATATTATATATTATAAATAAATATATATATAAATATAAATATATATATATATATTTAATATTGAATTTAATTATTCGTAAATGTTTGTTTAGTAAAACTGTAGAACTGTCACGTTCTCTTTCATTTCAGTGAGTTTTGAATATATTTTCGGGGGCATAATTTTGAACAACTTCTCCCTGTATATGCAACTGTCGTTCGACCATAGTTTTCGAGGTAATCGCAAAAAAGCTGTCGATAACACTGCAGTGAATTATTCTGCTTTTATAGTTGCGCGCCCGTAACAGCGTATGAGTTCGTATTGGCTGCTAACAGCTTTTATTGCTAAACGAGACCTAACCCTTATCTTTTGTTTTTTTTGGGTAAAACTCCGCCGCAACAGTATATGCGAAACTGTAAGAAATGTTTGTTATAGTTCAATTATTAAAATTGAATATCGTTTAGGTTAGCCCTTTGAATCCGGCCGGCGATGCTCGAATGATAAGAAGTTAATTATATGAATAGTACGGTGAACGAATAATTGATATTATTTTACGAAAAGAATAATTGTCCTTATTTTACAAAAGTATTGCTAGCCGTCGTGCGGCGACTAGATTGAAGAAAACTAGGGCCAATACATGTTGCGCATGGGACCTTTAAACTCGTCCAACCGTTGAAACACAACTATAGATAGAATTCTGTAATGAGAGAGAAGGCTGTAATGGTACAGGCAGCTTTTCGTGAATATCGCGGAAACTAAGCGAGTTCAGCCTTTACATGTATAGGAAAATGTTATTCAAAACGTTGAATTTCGCTATATAAAGGCAAAAACCATTGAAATAGAAGGGTAAGTAAGCTTTTCTACAGTTTCACCTTAAGCAGACTTGCCAAAGAAATAAAAATAAATAAATTCATACGCGCTAGTAATGTTCCCTAAAAAATTTTTCTTTTCCACTGCACCATTCATTACATACAAATAATGTTCCTACTTTGTACGAACTACTTTTATATTTTCTATTTATTTCGCGATTATGATTACGATCTATAATATAATTTACAGAAGTTTCTACCGTATCTAATCTAAAAAATAATGAAAAGTATCCAGACTTCAAACGGGAAAATTCAGGGATTTTAATGCTCTCTACTCTAGAACAGTGTCATTTTATAAATGACAATCCTACACACAGCAGATTTGGACGTTTCGTTATAAAATTTCATATAGTATTTTAAAATCATGTAAGATTGTTTGAAAAGCAATTTATTATTGAAATAATCTAAAGTATTTTTTTACAAACGTTACATTAATTCGTTTGATATGATCAATTCATTTGTTACCTGGTATTTTTATTTCTGCAAAAGTTACTCTGAACTATCATTCTAAATCTTTTGGATCTGTAATAATATTTTGTGTTAAGTATTAATTAAACATTATTAATTTGTTCTGTTAATATTTTATATTATTTGTAAATATTATATTTCCTACATTTAAAAAAATAATTTCAATAATCGGGTTTTTTGCTTTTCAGTAGATTGGCAGCAGAGGTGAAAGTTGTACCTTTTCTTTAATTTTTTAACGACCAGCGAGTAGAAAAAGATATTCCAAGATGATAAACAAATTGAATCACGTGCCGCTAACTGTACCTAATTACTCGTATGCCTTCAATTTTGAGAAAAACTTTGTTTACTCGGATGCCCTTACGACAATTACGAACCATTATCCATACTGCTTCTACTATTCTGCCATTTATGTCATCCTAATTTTTGCTGGAAAGCATTACATGTCAAATAGGCCGAAATTCGAACTGAGAGGTGCCCTTGCCTTGTGGAATATATCACTTGCGGTATTTTCCATTTTTGGATTTCTTAGAATGTGGTCGGAAGTGTATCACATATTAAGCTATCATGGGTTCTACCATAGTATCTGTATACCTAGGTAATTTAACATTCGTACCTTATTTTAGCTTTCAAAATATTTTCCGTAGAATAATAACTTGAAAACTAATCATTAACTAAATATGTATTGTTACAATTATTTACGAAAGCGTACTATCCAACGACCTCGATCACCTCGAAATACGTTCTTAAGGTCATCATTTTGAATAACTTTCCACTTGGTAAAAGTTGAAAGATAACAACAACAACAACAGCAACAGCGACAACAACAACAACCATAATATACCCTTTATTCTGGAAAATTCTTTCGTACGGCAGTAAATAAGGAGATATTTAGGTGATTCCATTTGGCTGCTTCATATGGTATATTAACATATTAAAACAGTCATTGAAGTAATCCTACGTTGTTTTATATCTGAAATGAGTTGGCTGTATTTTACAATTATAGTGCCTTTATCGTTTAATTTTTCGAGCCTGGACCTACTCTATATACAAAAATATTAGAACTTAACGATATTGAGTTTGCAGTGGTACTGCGATCGCGCTCGTTGGATACAAAATTAATGGTTGACGATTCATTCATACATATGACACGATTATCACGTTTCTTTATTATCGAATATTGCGGGCGGCATCCATCTCTCATCAAAGCGGTATATGAAATCAATTTACAAAATAAAACGATATTCCTAAAATGTTAAATCATAATAAAACCATAATTATGTTCTTTCTAGCTTCCTTACGCAAGATCCCGTTGCTGCATTTTGGTCACTGTTGTTCATCCTATCAAAGATCGTGGAGTTCGGCGACACAGTTTTTATTGTACTACGTAAACAGCCGTTGATGTTTCTACATTGGTACCACCATGTAACAGTTCTTCTTTACGCATGGCTATGTTTTGTAGAGACTACAGCATACGCCAGATGGAACTCTATAGTAAATTTTTTCGTTCACTCCTGGATGTATTCTTATTATGCTTTGAAAGCAACGCGCTTTAATCCACCAAAATGGATCGCCATGCTGATCACTACGTTACAGACAGTACAAATGATTTGGGGTTGCTTTGTAACTATTACGGCTTACAGCTATGTAAAAAGCGGTCAAGTCGAATGCCACATTAAGCCCCATAACGCGAAAATTGGTCTGTTGATATACTTGAGCTATTTCATTCTCTTCGCTAGATTCTTCAAACAGGCTTACCTGTCTAGCAAACGTGGAATGAAAGTCAAAAAGAAGAATAATATTAATGACAAGCTCATCAAAGCTAATTGAAGCACATGAAAATTTCTGAAAACTTTTTCTAGGGATGCATCCAAGTGACGTCTCTTGTAAATATTCTATCAGAATTATTTTACAAGTACATATATTTATATTTGTGCATATACATTTCAAGAAATGTAATAGATTTTTCAAGTCTTTGTTAACAAGTGTAAAATCACGAGTAAAATAATACAACATCAATTGTTGTACATTGAATTTAGCAATAAATTTCATGGCAACTCGCTTGGTACGAGTAGAGGAATTAATAAAGATATTTTTAAGGAGATTTTGAAACCCTTTTTCTTTAAAAATGACTTTTCAAGCAATTATTCAATGAATCTATTTCGGAACGTTGTAACGTTTCTTTATAAAACAGTATGACAAAATTTTATTCCAGTGAAAATAAATATGTAATACGTGTATTTAAAAACGCGATGTGCAATAAATGTTCGTTTAAATAATTTACATTTTATTAATGTGAATTGTGATTGGGGACTGCATAGCAATAAAAGATACACTAAACACAGTGAGACCTGTACAGCAAACTTGGCATACTTTTACTAAATTCAATAACATATTTGTATATGATATATCTATTATTATGCATGACAAGAAACATATAATGAATAGCGTGTGTTGCAGCATTTCTGAGCAGGCGAGCCGTTACCCGTTTTTTCTATATAGCTGCCTCTTACATTAGCTGTTGCTTCTCTTAACTCTAAGTTTCTGCCTAAATTAACACGTTGACGCCGGTGTTACGTAGGAGACACAAAAAATCACGGATCTCTTCGCGTCACAGTTCAAAATAAGGTGAAAAAATTGAACTTTGTACATGATAATAAAATTTATAATCACGTCATTTATTAATGTCGCAGAGTGACGGTTCAAAGTGTTACAACAGGATGATTTAAAGAGTTACAAGAGACTGATTCAAAATGTTTTAACAGACTGACTCGAGCGCTTATTTTGGAGGAATTTTATACTGAGATTTTAGTCCCTCTGGACGGGTTGTCGTCCGGTGTAGTATCTCAGAGGCGCCTATTCCGTTACTATTTGGTTACTGTTTCGGTGGCTGTGGTACGCGGGATGTCTAGCCTATCCTATCCTATTACTGTTTCTGAGCGGGCAGTCTTCTTGAGCGTTAGTTTAAAATTAAAGAATTAACCCTTAACACACTTTTAGTGCCGAACTACTTGCTAATATCGTTGCGTATGCGAACCCACCTTATTATTAGCAGTACTTTATCTCTTGAATTTCTGGTTCCCCTACCAGACTGCTTGGCGGCCCCAAGGCACTAAGCTGCCAGCGCCTAAATGCCAACACCACACGGAGTTCCCAAGCAGTCACCACCCACCCGTCTAAGGTATTATCCGTGCCCAGTGTTGCTTAACTTTCGTGATCGGATCATGCGGCCAAGTGCTAAGTTCAATTAATTAGCATACACAATCAATTAGCATACACAAGAACTTATAAAATTAGGCATTTGCCCTGTTTGGTCGTAATTTAGCATATACAAGAACCTATTGTATCTAAGCTTAAAGTTAGGGATCTGCCATGTTTGGTTACACACTAGCATAATAGAAAAGAACGTATTGAACTCTATGCTACAAGAATCTATTTAATGACGTAATAAAATCGCGCGATAATCAAACTAACTGTAAGTTGCCTAAGAAAGAGAAATTAATTGTTTACAAGACATCGACAAGGCATCGCAACGGCCAAATATTGCTTGATATTATTTATTGAAATCCGCAAGTATCCCAATTATGAGATATAGCACGCGATGTATACCAGTATAATGATAAAGAAAACCTGACATGCATTAAAGTCTGCAGAGAATTATATCCAATTCGAACTATTTCCATCACCTTCTCATAGCTTCAACTTTATTACAATCCGTTATTAAGATAAGCAACTCCTCATCGGACAGTACCACATCGATAGATTCCAACTAAAATCATGCAGATAATAATGACATATATGAAATGTAATATTACACATAATAATAGAAGATTTTTATCAGATTTATCTGTTCCTTTATCATTTTGTTTTCTTTCTATCATTTATGGTAGTACCGATTGCTTATTATTTTGTTTTTAGAAAATTGTTGTTGTCATTATTATTATTTTATTACTATTGTTAATTTTACTTTTTATTATTATTTATTAATATTTTATATTACGTTTTATTATTAATATTACTTTATATTTTCGTTTTCTATTATGTTTACCTATGCTGTCGTTACATTATTTATTAATATTAATGTAGTAATGTTAATGTACGTCCATTAATATTAATGTTAATTGATACTAATAAATAATGTAACAACGTTAATGTTAATATTAATATTAATGTTAATTAATATTAATGAACGTACTAACATGTAATATGTGTTTCGATAAATAAATAATTTAGTAACATATTGCACTTATCATGTACTTACATACATACCATCAATTTTATCATGGCGGCATTGCATTGCCCGTATGCGAAACACAGCGTAACATCGGATTGCATATTGTCATTTTCTTGTTATATGACTACGGAAACTCCTTACCGAGCCATTAGTTCTTAAGTGTACGTGTATGATAACTTGTACGTTAACTTCACACTATTCGTATTGTAACCTTACTACATAAAAGCTCTTTGGTAATAAATATGCAAAAGAAAAACATACCACAAGATAATGTTACACGTACATAATCTTAAGTAGCAATTTCACGGATGATTAAAAGGAAGACAGAGTGGGTGAGCGAGTTGAAAAAGCGATATGGGAATAGAAAGAAAACGCTGCATATGAGCCATCTTATTTCCGTGTCTACAGTAAATATGTGTAAAGTAGTAATACCGATCAATGAGCAGCGTCAGTGTGCGTGTCTGATCAGACAAAGATACAGGAGACCTCTATGCAGCTTTCTTTCTCTATTCCCATATCGCATTTGCTTAAACGGTAATATAGAACACATGACATATGACTTGCGTACTCTATCTTTATTCTTCATACCTTTATGCTAAAAGTTCATTCACATTAGTCAATTAATTGAATTCAAGCGGCTGGGATACGAAAAGCTTGCTATTTTGCTTGGTTTGAAATATTTTTCCAAATTTCTACGCTTGTTTTCATGATAATTAAGTCTCTTAACTTCAGGTAATTTGAACCATTTTACTAATATATGATATATTATTGAATTTGAGATTCTTTCAAGTATCCCTTGGTTTAAAAGAAACAACAGCAAAGGAGGTTACTAACTAACATGTTATTATCAGTTTTCTTTTTTCTGATTTCGGTTCCTTAAATCAACTTGACCTTTCCTAAATTCCATATTCAGTCGCTTTTTACGTATGCATGTATGTACATAATATTTTCATAAATAAATTATTTCCATCGTAGATGTTTTTCATTAAATATCCGTTTGAAGCTTAAATTATAAACTAATAATTGGACTACCTTCTTTCTGAACAACGTTTAAGGATATTGTTCATTTATTTTGGTCAAATTAAATTTAAAACATTAATATTTTATTTTTACATCTCTTGAGAGTGGAATACTGGAAGAAAATTTTGATCCTTTTCTTACTTTTGTTTATTGATATGTACATTACATTAATTTCTTTTAAATAACTATACGAAATTTATTTAGAACTTTTATTTCTTTAGATATCAACTTCCAATATAATATTACAAAGATAAAATTTTTAAAGGTAATTTTATCTCTTTTGATTTCGGTTCCTTAAATCAACTTGACCTTTCCTAAATTCCATATTCAGTCGCTTTTTACGTATGCATGTATGTACATAATATTTTCATAAATAAATTATTTCCATCGTAGATGTTTTTCATTAAATATCCGTTTGAAGCTTAAATTATAAACTAATAATTGGACTACCTTCTTTCTGAACAACGTTTAAGGATATTGTTCATTTATTTTGGTCAAATTAAATTTAAAACATTAATATTTTATTTTTACATCTCTTGAGAGTGGAATACTGGAAGAAAATTTTGATCCTTTTCTTATTTTTGTTTATTGATATGTACATTACATTAATTTCTTTTAAATAACTATACGAAATTTATTTAGAACTCTTATTTATTTAGATATCAACTTCCAATATAATATTACAAAGATAAAATTTTTAAAGGTAATTTTATCTCTTAAACTTAAGTTAGCATAGTTAAACGGTTGTGTTTTAGCCGTTACTTGTGTCTGCTTTACAAACCTAAAAAATGTCATCAATATCGATATTGAATATTTTAATAAATATTATTAGTAAAATATATAAGTATTCATAATTACATTAATATTCATTCATGTATGTATAAGCCAAAAGATTACATGATTAACTGACTATTAAAGTATATAGGAAATTTCTTCACTTAGGATTGTACAAAATTATTTATGTAAGATCCTCCATGCTCGTCTAATTTATTATTCATTATATATTATTGGTTTTATACAGTAATATTTCATTTATTAAATATGGTAACTTGCTTATAGAAATATAAATTCTGCAATTTCAATAAATTCTAAAAATGTTTCTCACATTGGATATACGTACAATTCAGTAGATTATTTATTGTTTTTGCTTCCACGTTACTAAACTGTTGTTTGTTATTTCTTTTTCATGCTCGCTATCTTCTTCATTATCATTTTGTAAAGTTTGTAATTTTCCATATTTAGCTTCAAGTTTCGCAATTAACTCAGTATCGTCAAAATTTTCGATTTCCTCCTCTTCTTCTTCTCCTTCATCCTTTTCTTCTTCCTCTTCCTCTTCTCCCTCTTCCTCCTCCTCCTCCTCCTCCTCTTCTTCTTCTTCTTCTTCTTCTTCTTCTTCTTCTTCTTCTTCTTCTTCTTCTACTTCTTCTTCTTCTTCTCCTTCATCCTCTTCTTCTTCTGTCCGTTCTCCTTCTTTTAACATTGTCTTTTGCACAATTCCTATTTCATCCGTTTGATTTTTATTGCTCTTATTTTTTTTGTTTTTTATTTCATTCCATCTTATATTTTGATTCCCCTCTTTTCCTTCTCGTGTTCCTAATACTCCTTTCTTTTTTTCTTCTATGTCATCTTGATTCCGTTTGTTCATTACTTCTCCTTCCTCTTCCCCTTCTTCTTCTCCTACCCCTTCCTCTACATCTCTCTCATCCCCCTCCTCTTGTTCCTCTTCTACTCCTTCCCTTTCTTCTTCTTTCTCGAACTCAGTATCTTTTTGCACAACAACCTGTTGTCCTGTCTTTTTACCCTCTTCTTCTCCGCGCTTATATTTCTTTGTTTCTATTTTTCCACTTTTCTCTTGCACTTCTTTTTCATTCTTTCCTATTTTAAAAATTGTTTCGTCTTTCAATATAATTTTTTATTCCATATATTTTTTCTCACAAAAAATTAGTTTAGATCGATTTTAAACAGAAATAATAACTTCTAAACGTTAAAAAAGGTAAAGATTAATCACTATCATTAAAAGTGCATAAAAATGACTTTAGCCTTCATTTAAAAGTATTTATAACAATAATTTCTTTGTTATTTTAAAAAATTTATATGTCCCCTTACAATGGCATGATATTTCTATGATTGATTCATGAAATAAAAGTATTTTTTAAATCAATTTTATAACTTTCTCAATTATATTTTAAGACATTGAATAAATGTGAAAGTTAAGTAAAAGTGTATTTAAATTTAACATACAAAATAATATTATATTGTTAAATATGAAAGATGATTCAGTAAATATTGTATAATTTTACAAGTCAGAAAATTGAAATTAGATCAGAATTTTGTCTAAATGCAATAAATTATACTATTTGTAAAGCAAAAATGTTACAACATTTACCGTTATTCCATCGTTTCACAAGGACAAAATGTGCAGCGACAATAAGTGCCACACCGACTCCAAACTTCATTGCCACTGCAACCATCAGATGTTATTTTTTATTGAGATTTCAAAAGTGTAATGAGAAATAAAGAAGATTCTAAAACTATGAAAATCTTTTATATCTACGTTATATTTTATGTCAAAATATGAGAGCATGGAGGATCATTTTACATTATGAAAAGATTGTAATGCAACTTTGACACGCAATATTTCACTTACCACTAGTAGATTCTTCTTCTATTTCTTCTATTTCTGGCTTTACATCTACATCATTAACATATTCTTCTGGTTCTGTGTTTTCTACCTAATATAAAGATGATAGTGTGATAATGTGCTACTATTTAAGAAATTATATTGTAGAATTATTCATATAAAAGTGTACGGTAACATATAATTTTTTAATTTTCTATAGTGAATAAAATTATTAATAAATTAGTATCTAAGTAATATCTTTTGTAACTAATAAATTGTACATCTTTCAATAAGTGCTATTTTCTTTACATTTGTTATCAGAAAGAGAAAAATTTCATAAAAAATTATAGTTTCCTGTTTTATATATAAAGAGATAAAAATTAAAAAGATATAACAAAATAATTTTTCAAATTACAATGAACACCAACATCTTTATATTCAATTATCGAAAACTCATTAAATTTTTTATATAGGAGAATACATAACATAAAATAAAGTATGTACAAGTAATATTTTTCATAAGTTTTATTACTTTGATAATGATGTCTAATCATATTAAGTTTACCTCTTCTAAAGGTTCTATATTGTCATCATTAATTTCCTTAACACCAGGAATGTCGTCTAAAAATGCCTCAAATATGTCTTCATTTCTTGGCATTTCTAATATTTTATCAAATTGGTTATCTACTTCATTTAAAACAGATTTTTCATCCGAGTCTTTCTCTGTACTAATACCATATATTTCTTCTAATACATTAGTATCATCAAACGTTGAACTAATATCATCATCTTCTAATGTAACTTCTGTGTGCTTCCTGTTTTCATATTTACTCTCGCGGCTTAATTCTGTATTGATATCTTATATTAAAGATTTAAAATTTATAAGAATATTCTGAATATACATTTATATTCACTACTATATTTTAATGTTTTGTATCATGTAATACCTTCTTTATTTGGAAAAATTTCACTTTCTTCTTCGTTTGATTCATTTTCAATTGCAGTTTCCTGGTCTTCCTCTTCTCCTTCTTCTTCTTGTTCTTCTTCTTCTTCTTCTTCTTCTTCTTCTTTCTTTACTTCGTCTTCTTCTTCTTCTTCTTCTTCTTTTTCTTCTTCTTCTTCTTCTGTAGATTCATTCAACATTTCATCATCCTGAACTTCTCCAGTTTCAGTTTCAGTTGCAATTTCAGATTCAATTTCAGTTTCTGTAGTTTCTAACTTTTCATCGTCTTCATTATACCTCCTTTCATCTTCTATTTGTTTAGTTTTTTCATTTTCATTATCATGTGATTCTTCATTAGATAGAGATAAAGAATCATCTACCCACCCATCAAAGATAAAGGCCCAACGAGAAGACTCTAATGGTGTACTAACTTATAACATGAAATATATAGTGTTGACATAATACATTAAATATAATAAGTGTAATTACATTAAAAATATAGAAAAAGTTTACTTACTGTCTGTAGTACCTCTGTGCTCAATAATAACTACACCGATTAAGCCAACAAGCATTGTTAAGACAGTAAAGAATATGATTCGAGCACACCAGTGTCCACCTGTAGTACTTTCTTTATAAATATGTATAGTTACGTTGTCTGTTAAATTTTCACTAGCATTTCCCACTGTAGGTGATGGTATAATGTTATCTTCTTCATCTAAATATATTGAAGTATAATATATTGAATAGTTAAATGACAATTATTAATTACTGATAAAATGATTATTATAATACGGTATAAAAGTTATTGTAAAAAATATTGCATATTGTACATACATGCACAAACATAAGTATGTATGTGCCGTGCGTATACAGATTGTATACAGCGTGTATATAGATTGTAACGTTTTTATGTGAATTAGAAATTGAAATATGATCGAGAAATTTGTTAACATTATATTATAAAAATTATTTTTAAATGTCAGAAAGAATAATGCTTTAGTTTACTCTTATTTTGTTTATTTAAAATCTTTCTAAATAGTTATCAAAAAGTTCATTTGTTATTTTTACAAAAATAATAATAATTTAATATCAATGTTAATAATTAAGTTAATAATAATTATTATTATTTGCGACATTATTTTTTTACGAAAAGTTCATCAGACATTGTTTTCTGTAATAAACTTTGAGATAAGTATAAAATAAATAACAATATAACAACTTAATAGACAAACTTTAAAATAATACCAAGCAAAATACTGTCATTTTTGTAAATCATTATTATAAAAGAGCACTTTTACAAGTATTCTCTAATATTGAAAGTATGTATTTCCATTAACACAATATACATCACGAATCTATATTTACTACTTTGTTTATTCATCACAATAATCTGTTACTTGTATATTTCTTCATTGAACTAATAATCAAATTAAAAGTATTAAATTAATATTTATTATAAATAGCAACGGGTTGTACAAATACGTAAAATATATAAATAAATTGACGAAAAATGTTTTTGGACTGGATAATATAGGTTGATCTATTTTTGAAAGCCAAAAGCTAGGCTGATCAAACTTCTAAGACCCTGTATTTTCTAATTTCAGCAACATTGCCAAATATGCCTGAAAATATCTGAGGCTTTACGTTTAGTATAGCATTATCGTAACACGCCCACGACGCAATAAACAATTTAAAATATAAGTTCAAAATAAAATTGTATTATTTTGTGATATTTCGCAACAAAAAGCATAAATATAAATAAGAAACTTTCACTGATTTCATATTTTCAAGCAAAAATAAGCGACATATATATAAAAATTACATATACGCTCAGGCGCGCAACTCGCATATACACGCACGTGCTTGCGTATACATACACACACGCACACATGTATATACTATAATTTAAATAAGAGATCATTGAGTTTCACAAATCTTTTTTGTAAAGTTCCATCAAGGTATATAGTAGCAAATGAATCACATAGTAGCATATAAAAGCTAAAGTTAACTTATGATGTCTGAATAATTCTTTAAGATATTTTTTCACTATTCTAAAGTTCTTACAATTCTAAATAATGGGATTCATAAAATATTTTATAAAGAATGTGCAAACTATAATTTATAATTATTTAACAATTGTATTGTAATTGTCCAATATATAAAGTATATTATGAAATGTGATACGTGTATATAAGTATATACACTTAATGCGTATGTATGTATGCATTATATAATATTTCAGTATTAAAACTTGTAAAATGAAGCATCAACAAATAATATTCAATAAATATTATCATTTAATAACATTTTCCTACAATTCCTCTTTCGTATTTAAAACAAAATAATGTATATAATATGTTTTATATATTTTAGAAAATAAAAAAAATAACAAAAATTAGTTTAATATATCCATATTTTTTAATGTATAAATTTCCTGTGATAATTTTAGAAATGAAAATGAAAGCATTGTCACTTGATATTAGTAAATACAAAAGTTAGAAGTTGAACGTTGAAATTATAATAATTCTCTCACACTTTCAGTATCCTATCTTTTTTTACCCTTTTTACGTTTTTTCTCTCTCCGTTTTCTTGCTTGAACATCACCAGACATCTTCCACTAGGAAATATAACTGTACTTTTTACAATCTGAGAAACGCCAAAAATTAAGTTTTTAAAAAGTCGAACACGGAACCACGTCTATTATAATTTGATTTGTAATGACTTCAACAAGTGTTGACATAATACGAAAATCCCTAGTTACTATACTTGAACGTTTCTTCACGGTGTTAGTTCTCAGCAGGTTCTCAGTATTTTCCAAACCTTTTCCATGTTCAAAATTTCAGAAAGGATATGTAATGAGATATGTATAACAGAAGCTAGAAATTACAAAGAACTTAGTGTTGTATAAATATGTAACACGTTTGTAATGTTTATTACAATTTAATACATAAATATTAAAATTAAATAATTTTAATATTCCTAGTAAAAAATTAGACAATTTACAAATTACTAGCAAGAAGTAATCATTTTTGTATGATATAAGCAAATATTAACATACATGGTGATTTATTATCGAATATTACATTAATTAAGAACTTATGGATGTATGTATTCTAATAAGAAATGTTAATGAATCAAATTATAAAAATATCTCTGGTTAAAAGCAAAAACATTTCAATCAATATAACTATATTAAAGTATTTTATTAATTTATTTAATTATAAAGTCACAAATTTACTTAGATTCATTAGCAAGAAATATTATTAATTTATACAATAGCATATTATTCATACTATTGTAAAGTACAGGATACTTATTTATATATCATGAAATATAACAAGAAATGTAAATTACATGACCATACACACAATTTATTAATAAGAGAAATTCAATATAGAAATTAATAAACATGTGTATATTGCAGTAAAGCAGACACAAAACAAATATTTCTGTATATGATTATAGTAAATGTATATTATGTATATATATATATAATCTTAATAAAATATAATAAGTGGGCTCATGATACTTTGTTATATTTCCTATATATAAAAAAATTCTGGTTTAAAAAATATATTTTAGTCAAATGTTTGTGTAACTTTTATTGTAATTTCATACTAAATGACTTAAAATTTGTAAAATCTATTATATCTTTAATTTAATTTCACTTTAATAATAACCTTATATCCAAAGAAGTAATAAAAAAATGTCAATCATAATTCAGTTTATAATAGCAGAATTTTAAAGAATGTTCTATGTTTTATGAATAACATATATAAACTATCTTGTGATCAAAATGTATCATAAACTATTTTACCAGCTATTTTTAGGGAATACCTTAACATGGTTTACTTTACTAAATATACATTAAAGGTACGAGATCAATTTATATGATATAAACAGATTAATGTTTATTAATTTTTCTAATTTATAACACTTCTTCCCACTCTCTCTCTCTCTCTCTCTCTCTCTCTCTTAATTATTTGGTTAATTTTGTAAAAAAAAGAAAAAGGAACGATTATTTCTTTTTCTAAAAATGTTTATTAACTATAAATAATTTCAAGTAATAAGAGAAAATCTTATTTTTCGTATAATTTTATAAAACTATTTTATTAAATGTTTAATGATTACTATGTAATTATTATGTTCTATGAGTATGTTCTTTGAAAAGAAAATTCTTTGCATCTATTAAAATGTGTAGTATATATCTTTTTAAATAATGTAATTTGAGAAAGGCCAAAATATTTGTCACAGAATGTTGATTATAAGTTTTGTACTCTCAAAGGAGTAAATTATATAAGATTATCTCAATTATATGTATTTTTTATAACAATGAATAATATTGATCAGTTATAACACTTAACAAATTGAGTAGGGCATAAATAAAATTTTATTAAGAGAGCAGTCTTATTTATATCCACATAAGAATATTTTATAATTATAATCTTAGCAACCTTATTAAATGTTTAAATATTAAAAACTATTGAAACATATATAGACAAAACTACAATTTTAAGTCATTAAAGTATAGTAATAACTATTTACAAATTTTATATGTATAAAAATATATTAACAACAAACGTATGTAAGGAAATTCTTTTCATTTATTTAAAATAGATAGTATACAAGGTGTACCAGAAGAAAATTTAACTTTATCAGCATGTTAATTTGTAATTTAAAAAGATCATACATCTTAGCTCTGTTTTGGTGTCAATTTTGTTTACTCTGTATATCAAGTATCAGTATAAGATCGTAACTATTGGTGACTAGTGAGTTCACTCTGTCTCTAGATTTTATATTTATGTAAATATGCATTTTTAAATATGCATTTCCTTGAAAGATGGATAGGATAATATGAACCAATCTTATGGCCAGCCCAATCACCTAATTTAAGTCCACTGGATTTCTTCCTTTGCGATTACATGAAATCACAATTTCAGACAACCGATACAATATATATTCAATGCAAATAACAGTATTAAAAATTAAATATTGCAGATACAGTAGCTATGTACATTACAAGGATAACATGCTGAACATCAGCTGTAGAATATAAAAGTGAAGCAAGCCAAGAAATGCATTAAAAATGTGCAGAATTTTTCTTTTTAAATAAATCAATAATAGATGAAAATCTGTATGAAAACTTTATACGATCATCTTGATTCAGAATAACCTACTAAACATATTAGTAAAGTTGTATGGATTTCTCCTGAGACACCCTATATATCCATTTCCTATATTTCAAATGTAGGGACATCTTTACAAGAATAAATGCAAGAGATATACATCTGTTTTACAAATCATATACATTAAAAAAAAGGAAAAAAGAATAAATTAGATCAAAAATTTTATAAAGTTTAACAAAATATGTTAATATAATTATATATAATATATATATAATTTATAATTTTATACATATTTTCCTTTAATAAATTACATTAAGATACAAAGGCAAATTTGAAAATCGTCGCTAAAACACTATTTATAATGCCACTATGTACAAATTAAATACTACTTGTATTGATTTTATATTTGATACTGTATTGTATTATTTGATTTCAGTGTATAAAAATTATTATTACCTAATATAATGTTTTCCTAATATTCGAAGACTACATATGGTTTGCTTATTTTCACAAGCATTTAGAAATTAAAATTATACAAATACTATTAATTGTTAAAAGCATAACATAAAATAGAAGTACTATAATTTTATAAAAATATAAACGAAACAATAGATCAATTAAAAATATATTGTACATATGCAAATGTCTTAATGAATATTGGTCATAATATAATATTTCTCTAATAATGAGATTGCTGATTTACTCTATCAATAAAATACAGTTCGCTATCATACTTATAGATATATATATTTCTACTTTTTTTCTTTTTTTTTTAAGAATAAAACATAAATAAATAAATAAAAAAGTTTTTATTGATGTGAAATGTCATACCTTGTAGTGCATGATAACAAACTATAGAAGTAATTTAAACACTCCTTGAAATATTGCTCATTGCATATTTCTATTAATAATTAAGCCATTATAGAACTTATGCAATTAATTCGATGAAAACGCACACATAAATAAAAAAAACCCCTTGAAGGAGAGTCAACAGCATATAAAATAGGATCTTACAGTATATTTAGTTTAAGTGTTTTGTTAACATTCAAATATGTTTGAAAATACATTGTATAAAAAATATTTTTGTCATATAAAATGATGTTCTGTTTAATAAAAAAAAGATTGAGTTAATTTATTTTATGTTTGATATTAGATATTAATTTTAATCTAACAACAACAGCTTATCTGATTGGGAAATTATTGTAATTAATTTTGTGAAGTTGTACATTTGCAAAAGCAATTTGCATTTAACAATCAGCATGCGATTTAGCAATGCATTTAGCAATTGCTTAGTTATTACTATATTACTACACATTTGATATTATTATTATTATTTTTATATTATCATTTACTGTAGAATTATATGTAATTGCACATCTACTATAAAATATTGCTAGATTTGATCAGTTTAAAATATACGGGGTGAGTCATTTTCAGTAAGAACAGTAAATAGTTTTGTTGGTCTCAATGACAAACAATTTAATTTTCATGCAAAATTATATTAATGAAAATTTCATCTGCTCATTTTTGTTTACGCTCATAGTCATATGTTTCAGCACTACAATATCACTTCTAAGATAAATTTTCTAAATTAAAAAAATACGTTTTTACTATTGCAGCGTTATAATTAACAAGTATAATCTTATGGTTCATTGCATCTGCAAATTTTCTTTTGAAATATTGTTATAAAAAATGTATTTCATTGTGCCTTGTTTCATATTTTCACATATTTTTTTAACAAATATTTTTTGTTTATAATATCAGCTATGCTAAAATTTAATTTATGAACATCTCTGATTGAGTGGAAATCTATTTATATTAAATATTTTGTAAAATAATATCAAGATACAAGTATTAATAATTAATAATTATCAATAATAAACGAGGCATATATTTCGTACAAAAGAAACGTTATAGATATATATGGAGAGTATTGAAGGGAAAGATGTTTCATTAATAAAAAAAATAATTGTATAAAATATAATTTTGATATGATTGCAATGTATATTTGACATTTTACATATGTGCATAAGTATTAGGAAATAATTTAATGATTAAATTGATATTTGTTGAATGTTACTTTCTTGTGAGAGAGTATGTAATATGATTTTAAAGAATGTAGTCATCACATGCTTCAGACGTTAACATTCTTTAAGTTATATTAATAAAATGATTTTAGTGAATTAATTAAATAAAGTTTTTTACAAATTTTATAACGAGTAAATAATAAGATAGTAGTACTAACTTTCGTTTGTTAGTCTCAAGGAAGAATAAATAAGCATTCAGGATGATTCTAGAAACCAAGTCATACAATAACTTTATTTTAACAATGAACATCATTTAAGTGACATTCAGTGATTTTAATTAAATTTTTAATACTACTATAAGCATGAGTAAAAGATATTTATCATGAGCACTGATTGGCTACCTATTAGAGTGTAGTAAAAAATCTCGTAGGCATAGTAAATAGGCGAGAAATAGAATGATTAGAAGTTCTCCTATCAGGACATAAGTTGGTCATAAGTTGTCTATATCTGTGATATTCATAGCAAACCTAAAATGAACGGCAAACGAAGAGAAATGATGTAAACAATTATAATTATTTAAAATCTTTAAACTGTCCTTAATGACTTCAAAAATCATGACTAGTAGCATAAATTTTTGTAGCTCTGACAATTCTTATTATACAGAAGGTAATTCCAAATACAAATCACATGAATCGTTGCCTGAAATATCATAAAACTTTGAAACACACGAAAACATAACATATGATGTTCGATAAAATAACGAGCATATTGTTACAATTCTAATATTTATTTGAATACTTTTGTTTGTAATTATATTTAGGAATTCACAATTTATAAGAAGAATTATAATTAAGAAAAAAAGGAGAAACAAACAAATAAAATGTTTTAACAAGCTGTTTTTATCACTCAATATTTTTATCAAAAGATATCTTTTAAATTATTTTTCTGTATTCAATAGTTCAAGATATTCAGAGAAATATTCTCATCCTTGATAAGAGAATGTAACAACATTTTCATTTCTGCAGAAAAATAGAATGTGTCGTATTAAATATTTTTTAAAGAACAATGTCATACAAAATATTTATAAAAATTAATAGTTATTTAAATGACGTATCTTGTAAGAGAAACTCGAGAATACTTAATCATACATAAGTCATATTGAACATAATTAGGTAAATTCTGGGTTTTTACAGAACAATTTTATTATTTTTCACAAATAGACTCCTATCAATAAAATTTTTATATTATATTTTTATATTTATGTTTTAAATTTAGTTTAAAAATTGCTTCAATTTTAATTCGCCTAGCGATTTTGATGCAGTACTTAAGTACAGTTTCACATAATTTACTCTTCTATATTATATTTATATTTCATTATATGTATATTTTCAATTAAAAAGTCATTTCAATCAATTCGAAACAATGCATATTTTAAAATAAAGTAATACAGAGGGAGAGAAAGAGAGAGAATATATTGGTGTGGAGAACATTTTATCATTCCTCTTTTAACTTGTCAATAAAAACATTTAATTTGTAGAGAATAAGTTGAATATGCTTATGCTCTGTTTGATTTGTAATGTTCAACTCGTGTCTACTGAGTTTATTCTTTCTTATTCCCAGATATAGTTGTAGTAAGGCTGCTCTGACGTTGTTGCTAATATATCAACTGTTTTGTATTATTCATACTAATAGTTTTACTACATTATAGTCAACCTTTAAGATATAATTAAATATTTACTTCTTCAATTGATTTATACTATTTTTATATTACTTATATCACCTGTACTAAGTAAAAATCAAAAAAAGAGATGTTTAACGCTGAAGATTTGTTTAAATAATGTAAATCATATTATTATAATTGATCTAATACAAATAAATAAACAATAAAGTAATTGATTAAAACCGTTAGTTAGCTAGTCAGTGTCTATTCTTTACAAAAAGAAGTCAGAGTGATCGGATTTGAATTGATTTGAAAATAAGAAGTCCTAAAATATACAGACCCGCGCTTAATCATGGCAACAGTCACTGTTTAGTGCAAATGCAAATATTTATAGTAATTGAGATAAGACATTCAACGATGAACGTTAGACATTTTCAATTGTATTTATTAATATCTAACAAATTATTCGCCGTCTGTATCTATTTTTACAACATGCACAAATGGGGAGACTTTTTAGTAAATAAGTACATTAATGTAACGAAACAATTGAATATTCAGGATTAATTTACGATAAAAGTAACCTAAATTAATAGTTTGGAAACAAAACGATTTTAATAAGAAACAAGAAATTGCACCATTGAAAAAAGAATATATTCCAAAAAATTAACTATGTAATTGTTTTCTATCTTACTTATTTACGCTAGAGAAAAGCTGGCCCACTTAAAACAATTATTTGACATTTTATTGATATTAAATTACGATATTGAACCAACAATATGTTAAAACTCTCCTTATCACAGAATAAAATGTTGTTGCAAACGAAACTGTTAGTAACTTCGAAATATTTAAACATGATATAATAGATAAAATTTGAAGTAAGAAAGTCTCCTGTCTAATACAATTTAATATAATGCAGATTAGAAATTGTCGAAATTCTGTCATATGATGGAAACTCGATGTTATTCTTATGTAAATTAAACTTCAAAATTCAGCAATATTACATGTGTGTAAAATTGCGCTTATATACGATATTTGAAACTATGTATAATTGAACTATATGTCATAAATGTATTTTTTGTACTAATTACTAATGTATTTATCATTAAGGATGGAACATATCTTGTCTTGTTTACATATACGTTTACTGCAATCCAAATAAGCTGCACTGGAATACTTAACCCTTTTCTAGAGGATTGATTGAGAAGAAATTATTGGATCACACGTTTACTGTAAGATAAAGTACTAGTAAGAGCTGGCATTTTGGTTTGTACTTTAAAAGGATGTAAAAGATTTGAAATCAATAATAAAGACGTGATTTGGTGAGAACTTGACTTTGGTGTTTTTGGAGGAGATTCTCATTTTTCCCTTTTTTTTTTTTTTTAATGAATTAATGGAAAATGCCACGAGATTTTTCTAGCTTAGCGGAAAATTCACTTAGTTTTAAAATGTAAATAGAGCATATATAAATGTAAATTCTCGAGAACATAAACAAAACATATTCAGGTGACATACCATGTTAAACTACACAACAAGCAACAGATCTTTTGACTCTTCATAAAATTGCAATGCTGACCAGAATATTTTTTTCAAAAACACATGGTTAATGTTTAAAATTTTCAACAGTACTCTGTGATTATTTTTATTCGCACTGATTTTGAGCAAGAATTTCAATAAGTTTTGGTCTGTACTGTGAGGTAATTCTAGTAACAGAAAGATATAAAGGTGAAAGAGTATAAGTGAAGTGAGATTCAAGGGTCTGAGAATTAAATTAAAATCTTGAATAGAAGATTTAAATTGAAGAAGAAATAGATAATACAAATTTTTTAAAATTAATTTACAATCTTGATAGTTATATACATATTATATTTAGAATGACTTTATCTTTAGTTTAGGAGATCTTGAACTAATTTAAATTGGTCATTGATATTGATATATTGGTTCTGAACAGTTATATAAAAATAACTTTTAGATATGAATAATTTCTGTTTTAGATCATTTTATCATGTCATTAAAACAAAACAAGAACTTAAAATCTAACAATGACTCACCCAACATATTGGAACAATAGTAAACACTTAAACTTCATTTAACCTTTCAACAAGCAATGCATAGTACAAAATCTTATTTCTTCTTATGCTACTGTCTAACAAACATTTCGTGCCATATCGATTGTGCTTAAAGCTATTTTTGTAAATAATTTTAAATAATTATGAAATATTTATATTTTGACTTAATATATAAGAAATAACTTTCTAAACGATACGATTTTTCATTTCATTTAAATGTCGTTTCAATCTTTTCAAAGCATTGAAAGTTTAAAATATTTTTCTGTTCCAAAATTTAACAGCTCGAAGATTACTGTTATATACACTTAAACTCCATATACTGTATACTACTGCAAGAAATATAATCTTGTATGATTTTAATGAATTTAAAGACTACAGTGTGCCTTTAATATAACATGAACATATGAGACAATATCTTAGAAAACTTTATAGGAACATGTTTTCATCTTCAAAATTTAAATGAATTAATTAGTATGCTCATTCAAAGAATTACAAGATATATCAGGTTTGTCACCTTTGAACTTTGTTATTGTGCATTCCTTTAATATTTTGGTATGGTCATAGCTATTAAACTTTCTTGATAATGTATTAGAAATAGTAATTCCATCTGTTGCTAAAAAACTGGAACTATCTAAAATTCTATTGTTTTCTAAATTTACATTTTTTTCAGAATTATCTGTCCTAAATGTATTATTTAAACTATGATCAAATGTGTTGAGATCATTTTGGATACTTCTAATAGTATCAGTAGTGCTTTCATATCGTCGTACTAAATTATTTTCGTTCTCATACCTACGATGTATCGAGCCAGAATCTAGACGTTTTCTAAATGTTTCATCGTATGATCGTTGATCCTCTATTCGTCTGGAAAATCCGCTGTCATAGCAGTGATCTGTTTCTACATAGTGTTGATTTAAACTGTCTATTTCATAAGCACGTTTTGTTAATTGACTTTCAAATCCAGCTCTAGCAGCTAAATGAAGGTAATTATCATCACCAATTGGAGCTTGCCTACAGTTACAATAATTTTTTAAATATATCATACTATATATTAGATACACAAATAATACAGTTCAATTATCATAGTGAAATGGAAATTAGAAAATGTCACATTAACTGTCTAATGTGTACTATTGTTCTAATATCAAAGAATATATTATTTTAATAAACTTACTTGCTTCCATATTTAGTATCGCGCGCCAATCTTCTAAAGTAGGCTCTATGCTCGTGCTGTAAAGCATATGCAGCTTCTCTTAATGCAGTTAAAGTTTTAAAACAAGAGGGCACATCTTCTATAGGAGACCCACCTCCTGGTAAAATACACATGTCATTAGCCCCATAAACAGCTTGACATTCACACGCATTCATTAAAGTTTCAAGTCGCGGCATATTCGTAAATATTAAAGAATGTATTCGCTGCAAATCTCTATCTGGATCTAGAACCATACGCAATCCAGCTTCCATTCCTGGTGATACTTCGCTGCATCCTAGAGCAGTTTCTGCTACTGCTTTACAACTATAAGCAATATTTATTAATGATCGAAAGGTATATTGATTCATATTATATTAAATAACGTACCAAAGCCAATGACCATTAATATATGCACTTGGATGATATTTTTCTAATCGATTGCTGTTTGTACGACAAATTTTTGTTAAAATATCAATCCATTCTTTTTCTTCTACGCAATTTCCTGCTTGAACATATAATGCCCTTTGTGATTGAATAATTTGAAACATGTTTTTCATCTTAAAAGAATCTTCTTGAAGTTTTTCAACAGCTAATATTTCTTCAAGCGGTATTTTACATAAAGGTTCTTTACCTGTGAAATGCGTTATCAAACATAATTTGATAGAGCTCAAAATAATAAGGTTAATTCTTCAAAGATACAATATTTTCAAAGATCAATGTATTCATTCACCTTTCGTTTTTGAATAGGTTAGATCCTGTGTAGTAAGCCTAAAGTATCTTTGTTTAAAATTTTTCCGACCAAATCGTTTTCTACCTTGTGCCCTCTTAATCATTACTCTGTAATTAAGCAACAATAGTGACAAATTTATACTATGCGAAAATTTCAGACCAAAGATAAGGTACTATTACAAACCTCTTCTTACAATCAGCAGTATGCATGAAGAGAAAATATATTCTATTATAAATGCTTTTTATTAGCAATAATTATATTTATGTGAACAAAAGAATATTGTTATTTAACTTGCCTTGTTAAAATTAATATTTAACAAATAGATAAGGAAGTAATATATGGACGATGCATTTATAAATTTTTAATTTTTATCATAATTATTATAGTTATTTTTAAGTATTTGCCCGATGCGGACAAGCGGATTTATTCGCTTAAATACTGCGCAGATATGTAGCTCTTCGCGGCTATTACCCGCTCGCCTGAATGTCACAATACTCGTAAATGTTTTAGCAACACAAAAAAGGATCAAGATAATTAATTTTCATTTGCCGTCATTTGGGTCTACCCACTCGTCTGCGCTTTCTTGTATAATTTAGTGTATTAATAAAACGTCCAAGAAATGCTTGTGTAACAAAATTCGCTCGTCTGCATCAAGCTTAAAATGTTCATTTTTCAAGTATATGATAAGAAAGAATAAAAGTAATAGATGTAATATAAATAAAGTATATTAATACAATATGCTAATATAAAAAATTATTAGACATACCCTTCTTTCAATACAATTGGTTGTTCTTGCTGAGTGCTTGTTCGTTGTTTTGCAATACCACTGTTGCTACTAGTTGATATTAATTCTAAAAATTGCTTAACTGCTTGTATATGTCTTTCTGTGTAAAATTCTCTGAAAAAGTAATATTTAAATAATAAAAATCTATTTATTTATAAACTAAATTCCGAAATACATTTATTCCTAATGTACCTATACACGCATTCCATATATTCTTCTTTACAAACGCTACCAGCTCCACCTCTACAACTTACTAAGTTTCCTAGACTCTGAATTGTTTTAGAAATTAATGTTAACGTTCTATTAGTTTGAGAATCCTAGAATAAATAATAATATATCTTAATTTCACTATAAATCAATATTGTTGCTTTTCTTTTTTTTTTCAATGACAGTCTTACAATTTGTTCAGTAGTAATATCAAATAATCTTGGACCCAATATTGCAGGTGCAAAAAATCGTAAAAAAATAAATCCACTGATGACTGAATATCTTACTTCCTTATTTTTTGGGAAATGTGTCGCTGCAAGTTCTCTTAAACACCAGAACATTTCGCACATTAATGGTGGACATCGTACACCAGATGTTGTAATAGCAGTAAATACCCTCTCAACATATTCCTATTAAATTATAAAAAAATAAAGTCTAACGTTGTTCATATTGTTTAATACAATAATAAAATGATAAGGAAAATTAAATTTGTATTTTATATACCTTTAAATTCGCTAAATTGGTTTGAATTGTATTTGCATCCTTTACTCTTGTTGGATCTATTTCGCATGTCTTTTTTTCTAAGAATACTTGTTCCATAGCTGGTCTAAGCGTACTATGTAAATAGTGAAGACCTGCTAATCTCATACCTTCATCCATCATTTTACTTACTAACGTATTACCACGAAATATTGTTGTTGGGTCACTTTAATAAAAATCATAAATTACATTATGTATATGAATAATATATATGGTATTTCTATCGGATGTATGTGACATTATTACAGAATGCTTCGAAACATGCGGGTACAAAAATAAATTTAGTGATAAATTCGATATACAAAAATAGAAAAGAAATGAAACATATGTTCAATATAATGTTTCCGAGTTACAGCCAGTTTTATTTGTAAGTTACCTTCTGCTTATAACGAACCAATGGACAATATTAAGATACTTTGACACCATATTGAAGACAGTTTTCGGCAAATCCAAACAGTACTTGTCAATTCTGAACAGGTAAAGAGTTGTGTAAGATGTGTAGGATGTAAGAGTAAGATGTGTAGGTAACAAGTATAGAGCCTTATTTGAGCCAAAGGTACTCACTTTGAATAATTTCTACGAAAGTAGGTAACTGGCATAGCAAAAACACAAATGTAACTTGAGAACGAGGTAATATTGGACATATATTTTTCATGCTAGTATATTGATGTTATATCCATGTTTTGGAACATTCTGTATATAAATACGCAAGGTACATCTTAATAGCTTCTCCAGATACGTTCAATAATCTAACAAAAAAATGTTATGAACCTAAATTAATTAGCATTACATCAATAACAAAATACACTGCACGAAAATTGTTAAAATACTATTTCTCAAATAAAAAATTCAAGCCACCCAGTGGTATAGATATTATATGTTATTACACTTAACATAAGCAACTTTATCCGATTTTCGAATTAGTCTTTAATTTTTTATCAAAGTAAGAATGTTTTAACATTGTCCTTTATTACTGATCAAAAAAAGCTCACTAATTTCTGTTCATATCTTTTTATCCGTAGTTATCTGTAGTGTTTGAAAAATCAAAACAACTGCTACAATGGACACTTCATATATATATTATATAATAATGACTTTTATGAATTATATAATATATATAGTAAATTATAGAATATTATATAGTAAAATATGAATATAATATATAAACTATTAAAATTAAAACTGCGTATAACTGATATACTTACGTTAATTTAGAAATTTCATGACTAGCTAAAGCTCTCATTACAGAAACCAATTGTCCATAGTGTACCAATACCCTAACCAATGGTTGAGCAGCTTCCATTTTACTTGCCACAATTTCTCCCAAAATATAAACAGCGGACGATGTTATTGGTTGAATATTGACACTTTGTAACAGCAAATTCCTTAATATATCATACATTGCTGATTGAAAAACATGGTCTGCTGTATAATGTATTTTTAACCGCAGAGATCCCAAGCCTGGAACTGCACCAGGTGATGTAGAACTGTTCGAAATTTTATTTGGGCGATGTTTTACTTGTCGCGGTTGTAAGAAGTACCTGTTAATAATGAAAATATCTAAAGATGATGACATAATAATGATAATTTATTGTTATAAAATCTTGTAAAATTTTATAAAATTTTTTAACTGAAGAAATTTAAAAAAGCTAGCAATAAAAATCATTTATCTGAAAATAAATATAGAAATTACCATGCAGTTGTTGTATTAGTCGGCTGCTTTTGTAATCCTTTTAAAGTAACTCTAACTTCACCAAGAAAAGCTGGTTGCTCTCCCATACCAGAAGATGCATGCCATAAACCTACGACAACCTCACCCACTTCTCCACGTTCAAGAGGATAATGAGAAATATCCTTCTCTTTGGATTCTGTTATTTCTGGCTATGAATAAAATTTAAGACATAAATAATTATTCAAATGGCACACAATTTTGTACAGCTGAAATATAATTAAATGATGGTAAAATAAATAGATATTTCTAAATTAGTTAATTTTACCTCAAAAACAAATGTTTCATTAAAGTATGGAGATATCGTTTTTTTTTTAATTTTTGTGCGTTTTAATACTTGTTTACCATTACTATAGTTAACCGTAACAGTTGCAAATGGATCACAACCACTATTTTTAACAGTTAATTCACTACATTCTATTATCCTATAAGAAACAATTATGGTTATTATCATTAGAAATTTCATCTTGATATATAATTATAGAGTGACTTATTCTATTCCAAACATTATTATCTATGAAACAGAATTTTATATAAATACACATACAAACATACATACACATACACACACGCACGTACGCACACACCTAGCAATTATATACTCAATGTAACAGCATTTAATAATATTTGTTTTATAACTATTTAATGAACTGAATTACCTTACTGTAAGTTTAGGTTGAGCGTATCCAATTTGAGGTTGAAGGGCAAGTTCCAAATGTGCTTTACCTTGCACTTCAGAATCAGCATCAACTAGTCTCAAGGGAAACCAATGTTCCTTATTATGATACGTTGCTAAATCTTCTCTTTTTATTGCTACCTTACCCAAAATTTTATCTTGCTTTAAATGTCTATCACGATCATAAACATAAATGCCAAGATAACGAAATTTTCTAGGTACTTCAAACTGAAATTCTTCTCCAAAAAATGGACTATATTAAAACAGAAATGCTTAAATTAGCTACTTGCTGAAAAATTCAATAGGACATATGTGTATATATATATACACATATATATATACATCAATTTCTAAGAAAAAAGCAAGTAAAATTTACTTGAGAGTTCTTTCCATTGTTGTTGTTCTAAATATTTCTTCTTGATCGAGAGATAATACACAATACACGTCCCTTGCACCAGGAGATCCATGGCTTCTGCTTTGTAAATTTTTCACCTCACCTACATATAATTAACCAAATACTTTTTAATAAACAAGATATTTATTATTTATAAATTAATAGAGTTAACTAATTTCTCACTTACAAAGTAAACGGAATTTTTCTATTTCCATAAAAACAAAAAAATATAAACTCTACTGCAATATCTAAGAAATTATGTTCTTACAAAATTAATTGACAAGAATCTTGTTAAATTAATTTTTTTAATAATCAGCGTTGAAATATTTAAACAATTAGATATTAATAACAATTGATTAGTAGATTTTTGACAATTAACAAATAATAAGAACAAAATTTATAAAATAGATTTATAGATCTGATTAATTTAAGTAATTAATGATATTAAGCTTATTTAGCAATATATCATTACAAAATTCATACATCTTATTGTATATTAATAAAAAAAAAGTCTAACTTGTAAGTAATGTATTATAATAATTAATAAAAATAATCGTATATCAAGAAATGCATAAAATTAGAAAAGATACATAAGTAATTAATAATAAATTAAAAAGATACTAAGGAAATATTTATATTTGGCCTACTCAAAAAGAATATCATTTTTGCATAGTAAAGTCAAGTTATTTCGTTCCAAGACATAATGGATGTAGCGAATAAAACGCTATATTTTGTTTTCTTAAATTTATACTGTCATACTAACGTGTATAAAAACTATGTCATAAGCAAAACAACAATAATTCTTGATATATTTAGGATAGAAATAATAAAAGGAGGAAATTTATAATTGCTGATCATGTATGACGAATTCGATTAATATTTTTATATTAAAAAGTGATCTTCTATGATATCAATAAGTATAATCAATTCTTTTCAGTGTTAACTAACTAGAAGCATATATTCGCACAGGGACAACGGTGCGTGGGAGTCGAAAATGTACGCTTACGTGTGTTGATCATTAAAGTTTAGCAGAGATACCACTACTATATGATTGTACAACAGATTTGTCAAGTTCATACATGAAATGATCAAATGACTTATAATATTATATTTTTCATTGAAATAGTAAAATCGAATAATCGAAGAAGTCGAGCTGGGTGACAAACGGGTCCCAAACAAGTAGCACGCGTATAATAGCACCTCGAACTTCTTCAAATAACAATATCCTTGTAATATCAACACATGATAGAATTCGTTGGAGTTTCACATTCTTAGTAAACGATGTTTTTAACAAACTTTCGTACCGATTTTAATCTTTAGTCTTTCTTCAACGCGAACTAGGCGCGTCTCTTCGGCCATGTTACCTCCATGACACTACTGAGTGAGTACATGAACAGAATACAAGGCGGTACGTTCATTCTGTGAATGGATTTTAAACAGTATCGTGCTAAGCTATACACGTGCCCAATCTTAAATAATATGCACGTTGATCATTTTTATAAAGATTTGTGATAACGGTTTATTTGTAGTTAATAGATGAATAAATAAGGAAATCTGACAATAAGAATATAAATGATGAATAAAATTTGATTACTAATTCATCGGCATCTGTTTAAAACAGATACAAATAAGTTGAAGATATTTGTCTAAGAAACGTTTTTCGTTATGAAAATAATAAACGTAAAAGTTATAAAGTAGGTAATACTGTTTATTCGTACAGTGTTATATTTATTTACGTTTTATTAATTATCTATATCATTGATATTTTTAAATATGATATACTGTTATATATTATATAACATATATATTATGTTACTTAAATTACAATAAATTACAATCGGATAGACAATAAGTGTTTAAATTTGCTTTCCTCCCATGATAAAGAATATTTAATGAATATAGTTATTAAAAAGCTTATTCTGTTTACATGCCTTATCTACGCAACAAGTGCATATATGTATGCATATGTATGTACGATACATTTAAATGGCATATTATAATTTTTCAGTAATCGGAGAAGTTATAAATATAATGAATTGTATCACATATTTTACACAAATACATTATCCATTCATTATTGAAAAATACATTAAACATTTAACAATTAAATATATTTTCTTAGTCAGTAGTAAAACAAGATCAAAATTATATGTTTCACATGTCTTATAAATATTATAACAGTTATCAATACGATTGACCTAAATATTACATTAGGTATGTAATATATTTACGCTATATTTAGTATTATTCTCAATTATTGTTCCATCGACGAAAGAAGCTAATTTGTTATCGATAGAGTAAATTGGCTTCGATATTTTAATTTCAATTAAGAAATTTCCACTGTTTTATAAAATATTTTATGTTTTTATCATTTTTGTTGTTCTATTGGGAATTACAAGTAAATTAGGTAAATGATACAAGTAAATAAGTAAATTATTGACGAAAAACAAACAAATATGCAAGTTGGGCGTTCGCGCGCGAATAAATGGTCCAGGTATTATAGAAATCGAGAACTTGCGAGAAGGAAGGAAGCACATCTACTGAAATAATGAAAAAAGATGTCTTTGATACACCAGACTACATAGATATTAGAAGACATTCTGATACAAAAGCATACGAAAGCAAATTCATACTACTTATCCAAGTTTCAGAAAATAACATTTGAGGAATTACACATAGTTTAAAGTGCCTGGATATTTGTCTATTATGATCTCGTAGCTGCGTACGATAAAATATTATTACAGGATTAAATCAATTTTTAAAGGCCAACGATACAATCATGAAACTTTGTAACTCGTATATAGCTGCCAAAACTATCTTATCATGTAAATATATCTTATCATGTATTTGGCAAGCTCCCTCTGTTCAGACACTTTAATTTCTGAATTATAAGTCAAATTTCTAAATCGATATAGATTTCTGATATCGAAGTAATGATATTCGAATACCAAGTATATGTATAGCATTGTACATATATGTACGCACGTCTTTTAACAGGCAATTTAAACTAATAACCTGCTGATTCCATAAAAAAAATACCAAGTGCTGTTTTCTAATTATTACTTCATCGTTGATTTGTGCACTTTGATCAAATTCAAATACTGTTGTTACGAATGGACCAAAGTGTTCGGATGCTTATGGGTTACAGTGTATGCAGAGTAAAATTACTATTCCTATGATTCGCTGTCCTTCTCATCGCATCACTCTTGACCACTATCTATACTCTATCTTTATTTCAATGCGTTAAGTTTGTCCGCCTGTCGTAGAACGAGAACAAACCTCTATGTTGGAGTATGGTTAACTACACTCGTGTAAGTGGTGAGCCACTTCCTGATGGCGCAATAGCCCGTTTCCTCTCCTCTGCGTTTCTCTTTGCTCCTCACTCTTTGTGGAACTCTATAAACCACATTGCTTTTCCACTCCTCCTACGTCATTCTTCTTTCTCGTCTTCTCTCTTACTTTTACGTCTTGTTTGACTTTTTTCTTTTACTATGATTGTTGTACAAACACGATGAAAATATTGATAATAGCAGAGATGATATTAATAATAATTAATTATTGTTTGTATATAATACGTTATATATATTATAATATTTATATAAAATAATAGTGAATTAATGTATATTATTATTTCCTGTATTTCTAAGACAATACAAAATAGAAAAGAATAATGTGTTGCTAACATCGGAATATATAAATTTCACAATTTTCAGATGGGCCATTAAAACACGTTCAGAGAAAAATAAATAAAAATAAATTCCAACATGTTTCTCCGTAATGTTATTAAACGAAGAACTAATTAACATCCAATGCACAGTGGCTACAAAACGTATTCAGCACTGCCACGTATCTTTATTTTCCAATGAAGCGTCTTTTTTCTTTTTTTTTTTTTTTTTTTAATCAAATTCTACATTTCATTTTCAAAATATGTGTCAAGTTTTCATAGCCGTATGAAGTACTACTCGATGATACGAAATTTAATATATTTGGAGCCAATTTATTAGTAGTAAATTCTAGTAAATTAGTACGACGGTACGCCGTCGAATTAAATAAACAATAAAGATGGATTAGTTTAAATTAATTTATACGATTTAATCGGGAGTAATAACTTCTGTTATTATGTTGAAACAATCTTCACATTTTTACAATGCAAAATGAAATTGCATTTTCTGATCTGTGCCAATTTATGGTGTCTTTAAATGAAAATAAAGTGTACAAAAGCGAAAAAGTTAAAGTTTCCTGTGCATTCTTTTATGCTGGAAAAGTTACACATTAGATAGACGAATATAATTCGTCTCGCAATTTTCATCGAGAATTATTTGTATCCCTATATTAGTTAAGTTTATATAACGGTTTATTATATTAGATGTTATTTCATTTGTGTGAAAATTTGTTTATATGAACTTGCTTGTGCTCAGTATGTACGGCTAATTTTATACGATAAACGTCATACTGTATATATTTACAAAGTTAATACGAAGAAATAGTAGATATTAGTAAACAATGTCATTTAAAAGTCTAAATAAGAATAAAATAGAAATTCTAGTGATATGGTGTTTTTCAAAAATAACAAAACAGCCGATGGAAGTTAATTATAAAACAATATATGCTGTAAAAGAATTACATGATAAAATACGATTAATAGAATCGGATTAAAAGCTTTTAAAGCTAAACAGCATATGAGTGCTGACTAATATTTTGCTTCCATTTCTATGCAGACTATACATTTTACCCGAACGGAAGAATAATTTTTCATTGTCAATGCGTGAGCATAAGTAGCCGTTCTCATGAAGCTTGCTTACTATGTCGTGACTCTTGAGCAAATGTTACGTGTTTTTAAATACAGATATCGAAATCAATAAAATAAAACTGTAGCTCAAATTACAATCGGGTAGCTTACATTTGAAACATTCCAAGCATTGCATATCGCGATATTCATAAATAATTTAAAATAATTTTACGAGTAAGTAACTAGTTAGGTAACATTAAAAATTATTACATGTTTGTTACGTTTTTTCGTGAAATGTTAATTTATTTTCACATATAGTGAAACAACAGAAAATTGCTAGTGCTTCCATATGAATATAAAATTGTTTGAAACGATACATCTACTGGTATTAAGCTCTTCGAAAAAGTATAATTACTGGCTGTAGGACAAGAGGCAGGAAAATCTGCTTGTATAAGTTACACAAGTTAGTGAATTCATAAATATGCAAAAAGTTTTTTTTTTTTATTTAAAATTTCACATTCACAATTTGTCCAATTTGGACATTTGGTAGAATTTTTTATCTGTTTGATTATCATGTGGGTGGCCACCCCCAATGGGGTACCATGCAAAAAGTTAAGTAATATAATAATTCTCCGTGCGTGTTATTTGTTTTAGGCTTTTAGATAGCGGCACATGAGTTAGAGGACAATTCGAATCATGTTGTTGTTTTGCCTTGGAGTATCAAGATCGTTAGGATACATATAATGTAAGAATAAATAAACTTCAAGTAAAACAATGTCGCCGCTACGTGCAACCATCGAACAAAGACGAATTTGAATTTTCCGACTCTCCACCGACCAGTATAAATAAGCGGACGCGATCGCAAGGAAGAGTTACGGTCAGTTGTCGATCAGTTATCAACCAGTTATCAACGAATGATCAGCGATCTGATTAACGAGTCATTAACGATCCTATTTTACGATTTATACATTGTACGAGCGTCTCGGCGAATATAGCCTGTATACTAATTTATTATTTTAAATATATTCGATGATTTCAACAACAAGCAGTAACATTTAATAAATCTCACGATCAAACGTCCTACACAAGTCCTCCACGTGTTCTCCTCTTTTCCTTTTTATCGTGAACATGAATTATGCTTTATGTGAATATTACAATAGTTTGCCACGAGAGCCAAACTTCATAACTATACTACACTTGTAAAATCTGGAAATTTGTTTAAATTGTGGCAGTACGATATTTAAATGGCAAAATATGGCACGTATGATATTTAAAGCTAAAACGACGTTAAGATAAGAGAGAAGTGGATATCTCAATCTCACTTTTAAGATAGCTAGGTACGATGAAGTATAATAATGAAAGTATAAAATATTATAATCGAGCTAATGTAGGTGTGACGTAGTATGAATTACACTTTAATTGGACATATCTGTGATTTCTAATGTAATAGGTAAACTACGAATATTTACGCAAGTCCATACGCGTTTACGAATAGAATTAAAAAGATAGGACTTACGTAGAAAATTGTTTTATCCATTAACCGTTTTAGTGCCAGGGTTTTTTAAAAGAATCCGTGTCGGATTGTGTCACGCAGCGCGATAGCGCTTCGTTCATTTATTTGCGAGAAATTCCTTTTTTCGCTTATGCAGGTGGTTTACGATTATTTGAAAAAAAAACAGTAATTACGAGAGGAAGCTCTGATATGACTCGCGACGAACTACATTCGGAACCGAGCGCGTTGCGAATTGACGATCCTGACCAAACACAGTTCACCACGCTAAAACAGTTAAATATTGTAAAATGTATTTATTATACTATGGATATTTTATATATATATATATTCTGTGTATATTTACATTTTCAAAGTTTCCTATAAAAATCCACAGTTTGATAATAAGCTAAGTAAAATCTTAATAACTCGAACATAATGCGGAATTTTATTCGTTTGTAAAATAATTAAAATGAATGTCACTCGATTTATTTATATGGAAGGAAAGACTAATGTCTACATCATCCGCGTGCATTCAGCATAGATTTCATCAAAATATTATCATTATTAATATTACGTTATTTATTTTAAAAAAGTTAAGCAGATTAATTAGGTACAATTAGTTATAGGAAAGAACAATATGAACAATTAAGTGAACAAAACATATGCTAAGTCGGTGGAATATAGTTCGAAAGCAGGATACAATTCCTTTCGACGAATACACGGAAAAAGGAGATGCGGAAGCTGCACACCGTACACCGTTTAGAAGCCACATTTTAGCAATTCGATAAATTGAAGAGCCGGGAGAAAGTGATCACGTTACAAATATTATTTATTAAATTTACTTTCGATGTCGCTGTTATTAATTTATTATTCATTTATTTATTCTTAATCCCGGAGTTTATACATTGAAATAAATGAAAAAATATCGCGCCAACGTATGTTCTACGTACGATAGTTTCTCAGTTATGGATGATTAAAGAAAATATTCAAAGTTTCCGTTTTACATTAAGGATATTCCTTAACATCACCGCAAACCTATAGAGAGAGATAGATCCATTGCAATGAGAAATAAATCCATTAGGTTCCTGGTCTTGAAACGTTTAAAATCTATTATGTATTCAAAGCAAGTGAGCAATGTATACGATCCACGAAAAAAGATACAGGGGATGGAAAATGGATTTGAGGGTATTTGAAAAATGCGCGATATTTGCGCAAAACGTGCAGTAACGCGAGTTCAAGCACAAGGTGTGTATTTCTTTAATTATCTATCACGTGAAAAGTAAAGTACGTAAGACGTATATTCATAAAAGGCTTTTTTACCTATTTCAGTGTGTAGATTCATCGCCGAAGTACGAAGATGCATTTATGACTCACCCTGTATGCAGGGGTTAGGTTTAATCTCTGGGCATCTAGAGATAATAATCATTTCTGGGTCTTTGAGTTAAACCAAACTTTAAAGAGTTCAGCCTGGCTGAATGAATCGATGTCTGTTAAACCAAAAACAAATTAATATTTACATTTAAAGATCGTTTGGCGAATCTGTCAGAATATTAACTTCGTGTGTAGTAATTAAAATGTGCACGATGCGATAGCCCGTGAAAACTGCCTTCAAAACGTTTGCGTTTTTCACGCATTCTAAGAAACCCAAGAATCCTCTAGAATATTCCGGGATTCGACGCTTATAGTGTCAACTTCTCAGAACAGTTCGAGTTGTTTGGGCCAATCTTAAAAAAGTTAGTCTGTTTTAAAATCTGCTCGGATATTAATCTAACTGTCTGTAACATTTTAATTCAGAATAGGTAAGTAAATCGTAAATACGATGAAAGTTGGATAAGTGATAAACATGATCTACGCTGTAAGTGCAGGATCGTCACGTTCGCCACTGGGCGAGTTTCTCGCAAGGAACGAAAAATCTAAGCGGAAACAATTACACCTAATGTGAAAATATATGGTACTGTCAACACTTTGACTGCCACGCCGAAATCACATGTTTCGTTCAGGACGCCACGGGAGTATTTTTATTATTCAAAGCATATAATGGCAAAATAATAATAAATCGATGGTGTAAGACAACATTCTTCCCCAACGGACCGTTTATCTTATTGGTGATCACGGATGACCACCATGGCGCCTTGGTAACTGTTGATAGCGACATATTATAACGAGACTTCGTTTATTTCAACAAACCATTCGCATTCGTTATTTAGTCGTAAGCAAAACGTCCAGAATATATTGTTGAAACGTGTAGAAGATATTAGTAAATGGTATTTACTCGTTCTATATGTAATAGTAAGGTATGTTCACACTTCTAACTTCAATTATACGATTATAAAGCAGCATTTACGATTATCTTTTAAGGTGTGTTTACAGTAATATGTGTAGATTACCCCTTAAAGATATGGATGCAAACACAATGCATTGTTAGATGCAAGATTTGTTCTCATTTTTTTTTATCGATGTTCTAATAAAAATGTTCAATTGTTCAATGGGACACTTTTTATTTCAAAGTATCTTCTATTTATCGGTTATATTCAAAATGCCCTAACTGTCAATTTTCATTCAATTTTTACAATTGTAAGAAGTTTAAGCGCTCCGGTCATCGATGACCACCGTGGCGTCACAGGAGAAACGGTGGCCGGTCATATATGACCAACGTGGCAGTCAAAGTGTTAATATATGAGCGTTAGTTGCTCCAACGACCAAGCTAGAATATGCAGAGTGTTCCAAAAGGTTAAGGTTAAATTTCAGGAGCAAAAAAGCAAAAATGTCTTAATAAACATGGATCTGAATATTTTTAATATCGGAATTATAAGAGGTTTTTATCAGTGGAATATCATCAATTTAGGAATGTTATATGATAAGGAAACAATTGGTAATTTATATGCATGTACATAGTTTTCCATATCGTGACCGGACTAACAGTACCTTCTTGGGATGCTATTCTTCGACAGGTTCTGAGAGTTGATTATGATATCGCTGATATCAATTCTTCACAATCTCGAAAATTACCTTCCAATGTTCGATATAGTTGTTGATATATGACACTGAACACATTACTAATTAGGTGCATACATGTCGGGAAAATTTCTTTACGCAATAAACTTTCTTGTGCAGTCACTGACTTACAGTTGAAAATGTCCTATAATTCAGAAATGATTAGATTGCGGATGTTCATGGATTTTAGGGAAAGATTTCAAATAACTACAGGATGCATATAACATGAAAAAATACATAAAATAAAATATTTAAAGTGAAGCACTTATTATGATACTTAATAGACGAAACAAATTTCTATTTAGATTCCATTTCTCTAATTATGTTCATAAAAATATAAAATTATATAAATATTCGCAGTCTATTAATGATATTCGGATCTATATTTATTCAAATGTTTTTCCTTGTTTTGATGAGTACAGCATGCTCCTGAAGTTTCATCTCGATTACTTGAAATATTCTCTATAGACTCCCGCCATGAGTGACGAGACATTTGCTAATTTTAAACACAAGTTTTAATAAAATAGGTTTTTAACAAAACCTTCAAAATATAATATAACTTAGCGTCCCTTATAATACACGCAATTAAAAATTATTGATTTTCTCTTGTAATAACATTTATCTATGCCTATAATAAATGTCCCGTGACTCAGCCAGAGTAATATACATGTACAACTGATGGTTGATTTCACGAAGTCAACAAGAACTCTGTGTTGTCCAATTTATATCTTTTAAAATGATTAATTTGAGGATATCTCGATAATGATTAATCTTAGACTCTATCATGTATAATACTTTTTTACGTAAAGTTTGATGCTTTATCCGAATTCGAGAAGAAACGTTAAGCATTCTATCTAAAAAGCTGAAGGTGATCATCATATTTTGATGAAAAAAAAACAAATAATAACAAAACAATTACAATATTGTTATTCTGGAAAGTAGTACCATGGTAATACGTACAGCTTTTACTCGAAACATTTTTTTGTACAGCGAATAATTAATTTACGAGTTACGTCACGTTGCGAGACTTAACCTGTACATGCGTTATCCCTCCTTTTCTTTTAAAAATAAATGTTTCATATGGTACATATAGTGATGAAATCGGTTTTCAATAGAATAATTGTACTACTGTTGTTAATCCTAAACACTCTTATCCACACAAACAAACATAAATAGATATCGCTCCTATTCTTCCTTAATAAAGAAATCAAAGAATGCTTCGTTTGAAGCTTAATATATGAAATATTATAACAGTAAAAAGTACATAACCAACCACTTGTAAATATGACTTTTGTTCATACAGTTTTCACAATTTATTCTATTGTAATATTGATACTATCACCAAATAAAAAAAAGAACACGCTTCAAACCACATTCCTTTAACAATGCAAAATTATTTTTTTTAAATATTCTTATTCTTAAGTACCATAAAGGTAAAACTAAGTAGTTGACAGAGTACGCCTGTATTTTGTAAACATATCCTTGTTAAAATAACAATATTTTATGCTCTGTTCCTATGATAGACTTATAAAATCCTTCTAGGTATTTTGCTGTCATGTATCTTCAAAAACTAATATATTACTGTAGAACTATGATCTCTAAATCTTTTAATCATCATTTGTTTGCATTCATAATACATTCATGTGTTATTAATTTCTTCTTTATGTTGGAGAATAATACATAGGTATTATGGATATGTATTATGGATAATTGCCAATAAATTAAAAATTTGTCATTAATATTATGAATATTTAAGAATATCTATGCTTTTGTATCCAGTATTGTACTGGGATAAAAATTACACAGAATATTTTTAGCAACTAACAATTTGATAATATATACTGGATGCAAAAATTCTCTGCATTTTCCATATGAAAACATGATATTTAGTCCCAAATATCTATTATGAAAGATAGTTTATATAATTTCTGTAATTAAGATATTAACATATTGACATTTATATTGTAACATGTACATTAATAAATATTATTATATTATCATAACTCAGAAATACACTATAATTATTCTTCAATATATTGAAATATAAGTTTTGTAAACAATTGATATTATGATAATGAAGGTATATGCGGTATTTCAAACATTTTAATACCATGGCAAAGATATCAATATTGATAAAATTTAAGTTTCTTTTTTATTTCTATGGCAAATCTTATCAAACGATTTGAAATTCAACGTCCGTAGTTTAATATTGAAAAATGTTCAAATTATATCTTTTATATATATATATATATATATCTTGCTTTATCAAATAAATTTTCAATATTTTCAACTCACTTTATTTGAAAAGGAAAAGCTTCTGTTGCATTTTATTAGAATTAATAATAATAGCTATTAACTATTAAAATAATGTTAAAATATAACCACATTTTTCATACTTCAAATAATATCATTATTGAGTTAAATAAGTGAGATCAAAAACTGCAACTTCTTTTATAACAATTAATATTTCAATATAAATATATTCTAGACCTAAAGTGTAAGATTACAGAGGTTATAAAATTTTATTGTTTACCACTGACAACTAATTAGAAAAAGATGTCCAACATTTATTGTCCAATTATGTATTTATAAAAAACTATTTATGTATATTTGAGATCTTATTCTCATTTATTAGCTATATTTACGTATTAGGCGATAACTGCTTTGTACTTTTAAAATGTCAGAAAAGATCAATTCAAGGTATAGATGGCATTTACATCGATATTCGTCAACCGAGACGACGCAAGATTTATTTTAGTTTAGAAATTAGTCAACGATCGTAAAGGGAATATAGCTGTTCGGACGTGCTTTTTCGCGTCACTTAATCGGGCCAAACTTTTAAGTACTTGCTTATCGGAGGTCAAGAACTGAAAGAATGACCCGTAAGTAACTTGCATTACTGTTTATACGAACATACACGAAACAGGCATAAAAGAACAGGGGAAACTTGGAACAGTGTATACTTTGTATCTGCCATTTGTGAATATGTATTTTAAAGATTGAAAATACAATATTTCAGCGTGAGTTATAATTGATTGTTTACATTTTTTCTATTTACTCGTAAAAGGAATAATTTCTAATAAATATGTATAATTTTGCTTTATCATAATCCTTCGTATCTAAAGAATTTATCCCTCTTACATTGTTTTGTTACATTTACATTTTTTTGCGAAGTGTAAGAGTTTTTATTCTATATTTCGTTATCTTAACAATTTCTTGCCGAGGAATACACATTTTGTACAATTTACATAATCATTTCAATGTAGTACTTAGGTTTTGGAAGGTTTTGCTCAAACTGGTACTTCTAGAAAATTCCTAATTCGAGTTTATGGTTATAATATTATCTCATATTTGTTATTTATTGTGTGCTTTTGCCGCGAATATATTATTATATTTTTATTATACTTTACTACTTTATGCCTTAATATAAGGCATTAAAATGTAATTTCATTTCTATTGCTTAAATCTTTGCTCATGTTAAATTATAGTTAAATTCTACTACTTAGACTAACTTTTATTCACAATTGACGCAATTATATTACAAATTTTTATATAGGTGGAAATCAGCGAGAGTTAGCACGAGCCAAAAATATGAAAAAGACTGTTAAAAAGTCTGCAGCTGAACAAGACAGCAATAAGGGTCTTTCATTAGAACAACGAAAAGCACGGTAACAGTATTTAATATGTATTAAAATTTTTTTGTACGCTCATATATGTTTGATATTTATGAATGTATTATCAAAACCATCATGCCATATTATATGATATAAATCTTTAGACATACAAAATGTAATAATTACAAAGCAATATAAAATTTTAGGTTATATGCACATATTTTCTGTACTTAATTTAATTATCATTGAGAATTACGTTAAAAAGCTAGATAACGTTAGATTCGTTTTAATAGGATTTTTGAATGGTAAGAACATTTAGAGACTTTAAAATAATTAATTTCAAATTTTTTACATACACTGTGTATTATATTACGTGAATAATGTTTTCATTGTTTTAGAGATGCAGAACGAATGAGGGAGAAACAACTAAAGAAACAACAAGAGCAGCAAGAAAAAGTAAAGCAGGGTGCGAGATAATCCCTACTATTGCAAAATGTAAATTGTTTGACTGAATTCAAGAATAAAATTTTAAGTATGGTTTTAAAATTCTTGATTCTAAAACATCAAGGCTATGCTTAATGTGAGTGCATAAAGAATTCATAGTGTTTTTAATTATAGAAAATATCTTCAGACTGTATAATGCAATATATATTATAAAACTAGGTACAAGTAATCATGTTTGCAAAATATTAATAGTCAGTGTGTATAAAAATATTGTTATCTACATTGTAATGGTTAAAGAAAATGCACATTTGACTGGTTCACCTAGATATAAGGACATTAATTAATTAAGTATAAGAGTATTTATAGTACTAATTTTTAATTTGTAAATTCGAGTTTTCAGTTATTTAATATGATGTATAAGTGATTCATAAATTGTACTACGTGAAGGAGACATACATTGTCATTTTGTTTGGCTCATAATAAATTGTTCAATTTTAAAATAAATATTTTAGAATTTCTTGTCTCTATACTACATTAATATTAGTAATTCTATTTGATTATCTTTAATACATTATATTATACAGAGCAGATCATTCAAATAATTGGTATTAATATCAACAGGTATACCATATATTTTTATTATGTGCGTTTGTTTGCATTTATTGTACTTTTGTATTAAAGTGGAATTCTAATCTTTTATCAATGAAATTTCTGTATTAATGGAAGTTTCAATAAGTTTAAGATAGAATATATATGGAATTTACAAAGAAAGAAACGGTATTAACTGACCATTACCTACATTTTATTGCACTTTCCCAGAGACAGTACATATTCAACATATTTATTTATTACTTGAAAAGCCTAATGTAAATTACAAACATTTGGAATATTTAAAACGGATATATGAAACAGCGATAAAAGAATGTGAAATTTTCTAATAATTCATATGTAATGTTTGCCGAAAGATAAAAATCTTAATAATAAGATATATAAAAAAAAAAAGAAAATGATAATATGTTGTACAATAAGCACGTTATATAGCCTCTAAAGACTAAAATCCTTATAAAATAGAGTATAATTAAAAACCATTTTCGACTTATTTCTAAAAAAACTAAAAGAATCCAAAATTTGTATTTTGTTTACCACTAAATTGTGTTTGTTAGCTCACTAATACATTTACAAGCAGAGGATTTCCTCTCTTATTAATCGTTTATAGATTATCAAACTTTTCATATATAAGGAACCGTATTATATATTGAGCATTTATTTAATTATACTATCTGTTCCAAAGCATAACTATAAATTTTCATCTGATACATTTGTATTAAGCGAAGAACGAAAATAATTGAATTAAAAATTAATTTGTATGAAAGATTTTTGAAACAATGATAATGATATAAATGCTGTATTACATTCTATTTTAGATCAATTTCAATGTACGTAATATAAAACGAATAAATTTGAGTATATATGTATATAAATTTGCAATTATAAGCAATACATATATCATAAATATAGGAATACTTTTTTTATCTTAATGTTGCCTCCATTTTACTGGAAAGAACATATTTTACCAAATAATTGAATTTTTCTGTAAATAAGTTTCGTAAAATAAATACGAACTGTGATTTACAAATAGTTCGGCGTTTTTAACAATAAGTAAAAGAAATATTCTTCACACACATTTAAACAAAGATGTAGTATAGTAGAAGCAAAAATTATATTGTATTATTATCGATATATCAAATAGTAGAATTTATCTATTATTAATATCCTAATTTGCAGCAACTAAAATATGTCTACCGTATGAGAGAATTTTCTTCGCCTAAATATTTAAACTTTCCAAAATTCAATATGAAAATATGGAATGATTAAGCATTAAACAATATTAACTTGAATATTTTTTAGTAATTAAATATGGATCACATATTCTGCTTGATAAATAGGTATTTTTATAAGATTCTTGACACCTAATTATAAGTAAATACAGAATTATCTTTTATAAAACTTTTAACAAATGGAATATTGTTATACGAGTTAAGAATAATGTCCGAAGTTATTAGAAAATGATAAAACTGTGTAAATCTGATAAATTTCTAAGATATAAGCTTAATTTTATCCAGTTTTTCAAGTCATATTTGTAATCGGATACTAATGAATCGATTTGCTTGTCCATAGTAATGTTTGTAGGGGAATAAAAATTGTAATTAATCAAATATCAAAAGTTACATATCTTACCGAGTTAGACGAAAGAATACATTCATAATTAAGATTAAGATTCATACTTAAGACTGTATTAATGTAATAGAATCTCGATTATAAATTTTAACATATTGATTGTGTCTTATATAAGAATATCTTAATAATCCAATGCAAAACATTACTAGTAGAATTATGACCTTCGATTAAAGTTTTTAAATGAATATTATGTCATTAATTTCGAACAGGTATATAAGGGTGTAAACAACAACAGTTTTTTTAAAGATCTTATCTATTCAGTGAAAACGCTTATTTATCCGCTAGAAAATACTTAAGACATGTAATTAAGTTACGAAAACTATCACAGAGGCCGTAACGTGTTATAGCATACAATTGAATATGCTGCAAATTATGTTATTTATCAATGTACATTTAATATTGCATACCGGATACGCAACTGGATTTAGCCATAATTCTGAAATTAGTTTAAAAAATATTTTAACTTTGATTTTGTAAAAATCATTGCATGGAAAGTACAAAAGCACTGTGATATTTCTTTCCTTGTATTTCATATGATAAGTTGTATAAAGTTAAAGTATTTTGTAAACGAGTCAACTTTTGCCCTATTGTCTTTTTTCTTTTCTTTCTTTTTTAATAAAGAATAAAAAGATACATTGATATAAAAGAATGTATAATCTCATTTATTCAAGGAAACAGAGATGACCCTAAAATTTCCAAGATATTTCCACTTCTTCCAGAGTGAACACATACAGCAGCAGGTCATGCACCATTCGAAGCTATTCAATTTTGTTTTGTGAAATATTTTTCTGTCTCTTGCCATTTCAGTCACACTCTGGCCAGGAAGACACCCTGTATATTTATGTTTGACATATTATTCATGTTTTGCACTAAATTATTAATATATCCTATCTACATCGTAAATCTTAATAACAGTATAAATATTAAGGACTTAATAGCAAACCGTAGATAGTGTTGTACACAATTGTATTCCTGTAGGATATATTTCAAAATCGATTTCGCTTCTAAAGAGTTAATTACTGAATATAACATAGATATTGTAATATTTTTACAAATATTTAATACATATATAGAGTCGTTTTTATTATACTAAGAGTGCTTAATATTATATGGTATAAATATCCTGTTTACATCTATTTCGAAGACATATCATTGTCGTATGCCTTTCTCAGTTCATACGATACAATATAAAGTGCATAGTGTACTTGGAAACTTGACAAAAATTTGTCCCTCTGTTAAAATTACAGTAATAATAAATGCTAATTGAGCTTAACTATTGGAATAATATACTATTAAAACATTGTGTTTGTAATATTAGCACCATAACTGTATGTATCATTTTGTAGACGAGTTGTGCACTCAGAGTTAATACAATTAAATTGAATTTACTACGTATACCTTTGAAATACGTTAGAAGTAGAACTATAATGTAATAATGTATCCAAAATTGCACGTTACAAAGTTTCCTAAATATATAATAAAACTTGAGAGTATGGAAAACACATAAAATTTTGTACATAAGATAGTTGAAAGTAGCGCGATAGGGGAAGAAAATTATGATTCTTTAGAAAAAGAAAAAGAATAAAAAGAGAAAAAGAAGAAAAAAGAAAAGAGAAAAAATGAAGAGAAGAAAAAAGAAGAAGAACGTAAATACGGGAATGTTTTAAAATATCAGCACAACTCCAATATCAGAATGTACGTACATTTTACACGTTTCGTATTAGTATGTTTAAAAAATACATATAATACATTTATAGCCAAGTAACATTTGGGGTTTTTGAGATAAAAATTGTCTAATGGAAAATTGGTTGGGAATATTAAAAATGTTGTTTCTAAATAAAGTAGTGGAGTTATTAGAGAATGTGAGACATCACTTTATAAGTATCAATGAACATTGTAATATCTGCGCTAAAACTTTATTACATTAATTTATGAAAGAAACACAACAACAAAATGTCATATGGTATAATTTAGGCGAAAAGATGTCTTTATTGTTTAAGTAAAAAGTGAAAATGAAAAGAAATATGTATATATATTTTTTAATCACAGCTGATAAACACATTAATTATATAATGTTTCTGTCTTGCTTGTCCGAACATTGAGCTTTTTTGTCAAATTAGCCAAATAAGTTTGAAGATACGTTACTGATTTTTTGTTTTTGATTCACGAGACTACAATATACAATGTATAGCAATATAGGAACGTTTTCCCACTATATATCATCAATATTATTAAAAACCAATAAAAGTTCATATTTCAAGCATGACGCTACTCTGTTTAGCTGTAACAACAATTTAAAAAGTAACCTTTCCTTCGTAGGTTGAATAGTAATTGCAGAGTAATTTGCAATAGTTTGAAGCTATTATTTTTGCGTAGCATATTATTTTAAGTATATATTTATAATAATATAATAGGAAGAAACAAGTTTTATTAATAACTAACTTCTTATATCTGTTCTGTTTATATGTACGTCGATATATTTTTATAATTGCATTTCACTTGTATCCAATTATGTTGCATAACGATACTATTGAGCGACGATAGAAAAGACATGGAAACATATGATTTGATGTAATGAAATGAATAGGGTTTTAATTGAAATGAATTATAATGTGATATTTAATATTGTAGATGTTGCTGTAAAAGTATCGTGGGAGAAGTGGATAAAAGCAACAAAAGATGAAAGGAGTATGTGAAAGTTGATTTTTCGTAATATTCCTTTTAAAGATTGAGAGAACATATAGTGCAAGTTTGAGCGATACAGTGAGCATGTAAGCGCGATGGATGTGTCGAAGGTGTTGATGGTGGTGGAGGTGGCGGTGGCGGTGGTGGAGGAGGTGGTGGCATATATAGCCATCCGGTACTAGTTGGCCAAACGGTACCTGGTGGAGAGGAAACCGGAAATAACGAATTCGTATTATTTCCGGCTGCTACGTGCGGCGTTGGTCCACCCTCTACTCACATTACCTAAAGTACAGAAGTAATGTAATTCGTATAAATATTAGAACAGCTAATTGAAACTATTACTAGGTGTTTAATTTGTATAATATGTATGATCTGTTTAATTTTTTTAAATAAAATGGGCAGAGGAAGCACTACACGAGCATATCGTCAAGGAATATCTATAGAAATGGCTGAAGAAATTATAAAAAATACCTAAGGGTGTCTAAATAAGGATACATAAATGCAAACACGAAACAACAAGGCTAGAACGTACGACAGGAATTGAATACTCGAATGGATATGACGAAGAAGTTAGCGATTTTTACAATTAATACAATCGTACAAGGAGTACAATCGGGTAATACATATGGATAAAAAGAAGAAGATCGTAGAATCAGCATCCGATAAATAATATCAGAACACAAATATTGACTTGAAAAGACAGAAAGAAACGCTGTCAACAACAAGGTGTGGTGGTTGACAACGTCGGCACACGTAAACACACATGTGTACATACGCACATAAACAAACACACAGTTGAATGTATATAATGTGAAAAAACAGTGCAACCGTACAATAGGAAAGGACAAATTGAAACAGAAGTGGCAAACAGTGGCTAACGAAGGCGTCCGAACACTTACGTTCGTAAGATTTTTGTAACAGGTGAAATACGAGCACCGAAATAAAATGTTTAAAGCAATATACATGTAGTACACATGTAGTAAAGTTGTTAATTTAAGAGCGCGATTTATTTCATACAAAATTTAATACAAGGCTGAATAATACGTAGAAGCAGACATAAAATGATTCTTTTCGTTTCTGAGTAAAGTAAATTTGAAAGTTTATTATAAAGTTTTAGACCAATCGTTAACTAAACAGGATTCGGCACGCTTGTTCTCGAGTCACAGCTTATTACTCTATGCTGGGTATTACTTGGATTTTGGATCAACGATTTCCTGGCAAATATATATGCGGGGTGGATAGGCATCCCGATCGAGGCATTTAAAATCCCTTGTTTACATATAAAGGTACGTTGACGTTGTCCGTTGAAACTGTTTGATCGTCAACGTGGCCATCAACAATGTATAAATCCGTATAAGCCGTTGGAAATAGTTGAACAATGTACGATGCGATGCGATGCGATGCGTTCGTGCTCCTGGCGATGCTGGACCTGATCATTTTAAGCAATTTCTCAAATGGGGAGGTAGGTAAAGGAGCTGTCTCCGAGTCTGCGTAAAGAAGATAAGAAGGCGCAAGCTGTTACTCGAAAACAAGGTCATTGTCATTGTCGTACTTGCCGTGTGTTCCGATTGAGTCTTTTCCTATATCGAAGAAATTTGGAATGCCAGTTTTCTCGAAAACTAAGCCTCCGACGAAAATTCTTATTTATTTTTATTTAGGTCATTCTATCACCTCATACTCGCTTGTATTACATGTTATCCAATCTGTCATATGGAACGTTTTGAAATTTCATTAGCACTGCGAGAAGAGGCGACTATCGCGATAAAATAAATAAATAAACACGCGCGTACACACACACACTCAGAGTTTAATATTCAGAAAGAAAAATTTTGGCGTATTTGTTGCTGATTCTGCGATAATATGGACCACTTGTAGCTTGAAAATACGTAAACAATCTAACAGCATTTAATTGTAGAGTGGATTTTCAAGAAAAAGAAGGTCGTCGTTTTTGTTTGTTAAATTCAACGCGTTTCTTTATATCCGCAAATAGTATCTGCTACAGTCGATATTGATAATTATACAATTTTACGATAATCTTTATCCTTGTTGTTTATAATAAATTACAAGTTGTCATTCATCAAAATTAGTATTCTGTCGTTTCGTGGCATATTAGATTTCTTGGTGTATCATAAAAATATTGGTGTTAATTTCCATTTTCGAGTATTAGTTGTACAAGATAGATAGTAAGAGTTGTACAAGTATACAGAGTAAGTGTATTTGGCAATTGCTAATCAATTTCTTTCGAACAAGTGCTAGATCGTAGAACGTGCATGCGATGTTAACTAACATGCGATGAGAAAATGAGAGAATTCTCTTGTAAAGAATCTATTGCACGTTTAGGATAAATGGTTCGTCATTTCGTAGAACAAGGTAACATCTTGCTCGAAATGATACTTGTGATGTAAATAATACTCCTGTGCAATGCAACGAACGTAGAGCTATTGTGAGTCGTTGTGAACGTCGTTGGTGATAATCACGTGTAATCCGGACATTTAAAGATTAATATCTTTCAATCGTTCTGTATTTTTCGGGAATCTGTTTATAATTAGTCGACAACCTACGCTTTATGTAACATTATTGAATTATTAGATGGAAAATATGTAAAAAAATATGTAGAATAATTGTTACTTTAGATGTGTTGCTACTATTATACCTGTAAGATTTGACTAGCTTCGAAAGCTGTTCCAGGAAGTAATATAACAGGGCTGCTGACGTGTCCGCTTTCCACGCATATCATGTTGGGAAACTCGTCATCGCCGAAATCTGGTATGTCACGAGCCTTTTCCTGCCACGGATTCCAAACCACTGTATCAGGAAAATTGTACTTTTGTACTCGCATTTTCCTACCGGATACGACGTTAGTAATGATGTGTTCTGGCTGCGTGTTCTGATAAATTCTGTCTGTCCATTCGCACACGGTCACTACGTCGCGACCTTCTTGAAAAATTTGGTTGTCTCTTGTCTGAAAGGAAGAATAGGTTTCTTTTAGTAGATATTTCTGAAAAATTAATCAATAGTAAAAAAAACCGATTTATTGGTTCGAAGGGAAAATTCGTTCCGTTTCTACGGCCAAATCGAACAACGGTGTTTGCTCTTTTGTATTCGTTTCTTTCAGATTTACGTGTCTTTCGATCGGTGTCATTCAGCTATTCGTTCGTTAGTCCATCGGCGTACAATTGTTGTTTAATGTTGAGAGAAAGAGACCGAGTCCAAGTTGCAAAGAATAAGCGACAGTCCGAGCGTGCAATTCTTGCAAGTTGCAGCAATTTTTGTCGCGTGGCTTCTTGCGTTTGAACTCGTGCCAGGTGAACGAAAAGCAACTACTTGGAAATAATATTTCTTTAGAGCAATTGAATCGTGGCTAGGAAAAACGGAAGGAACTTTCTGTCCTTTTCAACCTTGTTGATCGTCGATAACGTTGCTACGATTATACCTTGTCGATAAACGTGCATCCATGAAGGCCGGTAATTTGACATCTCCTAACATCTGGCACTTTAAAGTAAGTATGCAGCAATAAATTAAAACTAAACGTATGATCTTTACTAGGATTGTATACGCCAATGTTAAAATGTAGTTCCTTTTCCCGAAGTATCAGTCTGTATGTCAATTTGAATGGGTAATTCCACATTGATCGGGTGAATTCGCTGTCCATAATAGAGAAAATTGCTTCGACGTCACCGCTCGGCAAACGTTCAGGCGGCTTTTCTACGTTCCAACGGACGATTCTAGCAAAACCATGAGGCGGTCCAAACGTCCATGCTCCAAATTGTGCTGCGTCAAGTGGAGGCAATACGCGATTAATATTATTAATTCCGTATATTGGTGGCGGACAAAAGACAGTCGTAAATGGTAAAATTGGTATTTCATCGGGACAGATGTACCCACTAGGATTTGAAAGCGGGACAAGTTTTACCATGACAATTTTACGCAAATAATGGCTAAAGTAGCTGTAAATCGTCTACTTGATATCAAGTTTTGCTTACTTGACTTGAATAATAGTAATTAGAAAATGTGATGATTGTCGTTATTCGGTAATTTCGTTTTACCATGTTTCTTGCCAAATGAACTTTTAAAAGCTTTCTTCCGTCCGCCACTCTATATTTTTCCTAATAACTTTTCTTTTATCGATCTCCAAGCAATTATTTATTCCGTTTTGCCTGGCGTACTTACGAAAAACGAATGGAATGCCTCCTCTAATGGCTTTCTTCCCATCGAATACCGCTTGCTTACTGAAATAGAAAAAATGATACTAAAATCAAACAGCGTATCTATCGCAACCATACGATATGTTCTATCGATTTACACACGTTCGGTCTCATTATCCTTAACGTTTTACTTTTATTAATTACAATTATAAATTGTAGTATCGTCGCCGGGATTCGAACCCGGGTTCCGAACGTTCGTAACCTAGGGCGCTAACCACTGCGCTGTCGTCGCGCGACTAGTTAGTGTCGAATGATGATATTTTGCTATCGAGTGCCGCCACAGGCATTTTTTTCACGATACTACATAAATAACTCGATCCTTTGACTCGTGACATTGAGTCATGCTCATCATACGGATTACTTAAATCAGGTTGTATTTTCTTTGTAATCCGATGTTTCTACGTTGTCTTTGTCAGAGACCAAACATACGACTTGGTAGGAGAATTATACATAATCAATCCTTATATATAATAAATGCCATGTATAGCTAATTTTCGAATAGATTTATTAGTTTGACAGAAAATAGACTTTTAATTTCTAGATTTCCAGATGTACGATAATAACGCGCGAGATAAATAACCTACGGTATACGACACATGGAAAAGCCTGATACCTCGAATGGAAGGAAAAATGTTGGAATATCGGAGATAGAAGACCGACAAAAATGAGCTGATACGCTATTATACGAGAAGAGTCGTAACGTTGCGTTGTACGCAGCAACTAACATCGTTTAAACGCCATATAATTTGCTATATGGTGTTTCTCGAAGGAACGAACTCTTGTACGAAAAATTGCTGCGACAATCCTGATCCTGATCCAAAGTCCACCGACGAATCTTTCTCCTTGCTTTTCTTCGAACGTTTAATAAAATTTCATCTGAGACTTTAGTTTGAGATTTTCATGACCTTAGATTGTTCGCCTTTTTCCCTTTCACACGATCGCTATACTCGTAAAAAGCACATATTTGTACGTATGTGCGATTATACGACCTTGTGACAAGTCAAATCGACCGACTCTTTTTAAAGTTATCGATTTCGCATTATCCAGATACGCCATTTCTATCGAACGTCTTGGAAAGCAAATCTTTCGAAAATTCCAAGGAAGATCAGAAAATACGATAGAGAAATATGTTGGAAACAGGCGTTGCACGATTTCGAGGCAGATATTTATTTTACCGAGCAACGATCTTGAAAAACCTAAGGAATTCTTTAATAATTCTGTAATAATAATTTAATTTAATTTTAAACTTTAATTCATCTGTAATAATAAGTTTCTTACGATATTCCTTTAGCCGCTACTTATTTCTACCTTTTGCATAAACCAGGCAATTGTTCTTCCTAAGATGATAGAAAAAGACTAAAATCATTCTCAAATAATAAATGTAATTATACTAAGTTTCAATATTACGATAGTGTGTAATCCGAATGTACGTACGTATCCTCGAAATGTTTCTGCTCGAATAACGTCGCGAGATCGTAATGATATTTATAAATCAGAAATATAACAACAGATTGCTTACTCAAACAGATAACGAGATTACGTAGCTTTCAGTTTCAAACGATTTCAAAGCGTATACTTTGTTATCTCTGGTTTCCAACTCGATGGTAAGGTTGATTCCTATACGAAACCATATCTCGCTTTATACACGTTTTAGACATTCGCAGAGAGTAACAGTATTTTTCAATTTTGCTGTATCTGTCGGTTGAACGAACCGACCGAGTTAATGACCAAGACTTTGATTTTCACCCGTATCTATCGTCGATACGTGTATCCTACGGAATATCGTCATATTTCTTAACCTAATCACGTAATCCAGTTTTCGAACGCGTGAATCCTGCAAGTTGAAAGTAATTTTGAAAGCAAGTTTATCCGTTTACGCTGCACGGCTCCTCGAGGTGGACATACGATATACAAAGAGAAAGACGAGAGAGGCACTTGCTGGAGGGATTGTTGAGGGACGAAAAGAGAAGAGCAAGGTGGGCAAGAAGAGGACGGAGAAGGTAGTGAGAAAAGAGAGAGGAAGAAGGGGGTAGAAGGAGCGATGTACCACCACGAAGTACGACGCGGCGGTAGGAACGCGGCTGACGCCAAGCAAAAACGATCGACGCTGTCTGCCGTGCTTTTTGCAGGCATCACAGTTTCAACCTCTCCTCCTCGTCGTTTCTAGCTGCTGTTATCTGCCGCTACTGCTGCCCTGCTCTGCCCTGCTCTGCTCTGCTCTGCCCTGCTCTGCCCTGCTCTGCCCTGCTCTGCTCTGCTCTGCTACTTGCGAATGGCATGCAATTTCTGACGCAGTTAGCTGCTGATATTCTTTACCGAATACTTTTCTGCTTCGCGAAATGAACGCGAGTTTCAAAGAGGACATAGATGTTAGATTTTAAATCTCGCGATAAACTATAAACAGCATCAGCAGTGACACCTAGACCTCTAAGCAGTTGTTGCGAACCAATGAAAGCGTTGGTAGTTATACTACATTGTCGACATTATCGTAGAGGAACGTGCTGATAAATTGAAGTTGAAACAAGAAATATACCTGTCATCGAGCGAGTTTCGTATCTATCTTTAACATCATATCTATCTTTTTTAACGTAAACTCGACGTTGAAACTTTTAGAATGCCATTGCAAACACATATTCCAAACGTTTCGACGGATGTTTTTTGCATTCGTAATATGACATTTAATGCGGCGGTGTTTAGATTATACAGTGGTACAACGTAAGAAATTAGAAACAAGTATCCAACAGTCTGCTTGTAATAGGTTGTAATGGGCTTAGAATACAAATAAATGTATCGTTATTATAATTAATATCAACCATTTTTCATACGTTTATCGCCGTCCATATGGCTTGTACGTACGTACATGGCTATGTCAGTCGAATATATCACGAAGGGAGACATTTCAAGGGAAGATTACACGAACGAGCTGTATTTGAAGTATATTCTTTACAGCGTGTGTAACACGATCCACTGTTATTCTGACATTTGCGACTATGCAACGAAAAACGTTCTCGGTTGTACTTTAATCGCGTCGAGTGTATTACGAACGACGATAGAGAATTTCTAATCGGATTTTCCGAAAACACTTTGTTTTCATGACGAGATCCCTTTGGATGACGAGTAACGTAAGTAGCAGCGTATGTTGTTTTTCCGATGAGATCGAGTAGGAAATTTGACGAGAAGACTCGACAAGCGTATTACGTGATATTCTTGTCAACTCTCTGTCAGTGTAGGTTTGCATCGACTCGAACAATCGAGTTTCGTGAGAATCTCAACGTTCTCGAAGTATAGTTCCGATAAAATATCTATCGTAAACTTCGAATTACTTGAAACGTTCGGAATTTCAATTTTATTTGAATAAATAATTTTTAATTGAATTTTAATTGAATTTTAATTGAATAAATATCACGGATATTTCGCTATTCTGAAATATCTTTTCACATTCCTATTTCAGTTGAAGTCCAGTCGAGAGACTCGAGTGGAAGAAATTCTACGTTTTCACGTTACGATTTATAATTTACCGTTTGAGTCAAATTATTCTAGAAATTTATACGAAGCGCTTTCCGTCTATAAATCGTGATAAGAGAAACGTTTCATCTGAAAAACTATGGCTCGTACGAACAAACGTTTGTTCGAAACGAATGTTTACGATTTCTAGAGGAACCATCTCTTTCGACGATAGCCTTGAAGAGCCGAAATTATATTTTTTCTTGCATATTCTCGTAACCGACATTGGAATATTTTCGAAACGCTTGTTACTTGTACTTAACAAGGATGGAAAGCACGTACACGATCGACTGCTTCCACAACCGCACCACGATGTACAAAATGTACAAAGCGCGGATGTAAGACCATTGTCATGGACATTGGATAACGACGATACTGTCGGTGTATCGAGTTCGAGATTATCTTCTCGATTTCTGGCCGGCGAAAACCACATGTAAACGTATGTATGGTGTTTTGAGAATGTTTCCACGTCGGCTACGAGAATACGCGATAAAAGGGTATAGTTGCAAGGTAAAATAAATCCATTTAGGCGCGGAACGTTTGCTCGCGAGTCGCACAACGTTCGAATCATCCGTACTCTGCGAGATATTAGCGTGTTTTCGTCATAAAATGGATACACGACGATTCTACTACAGGGTGGTTGGTAACTGGTAGTACAAGCGGAAAGGAGGTGATTCTACGCGAAAGAAGAAGTCGAAAATATAGAATAAAAATTTTTTTTTTATTTTTCCATCGAGACAACGATCTACAGTGAGATCCGTTATAACGAGACGCGATAAAGTGCACGCGTACCGAGCCAAAATTTAAAGTCGATTTTCTCGAAAACAAAGCCTCGAACGAAAAATGTTTATTCTATATTTTCGACTTCTTTTTTCGCGTAGATTCACCCCCTTTCCGCTTGTACCACCAGTTACCAACCATCCTGTATATTTATCGTGCACAGGTATCGTCAGAGAGCTTTAGCGATCAAAGTACAAGTCCATTATTTCGTAATTGGTCGTAATTGGTCGTAATTGGAGGTATTTGGTGGAACTAGAAAACAAACGTGTGCGTAGGAACGATTTTCACACCATTCGCAGAAGGAATTTCATCGAAGACGATAATTTTCATCTATCAACGCGACGACGATTCGCGCATCGTGCAACGCGAAACACGAAACACTGGCTGTACCAGAGGAAGAAGAAGAAGAAGAAGAAAAAGGAAAGAAAAGAAAAAGATATCGCGAAGGCTTTGACACGAGCTAGCTCGATCCCCAGACTTGAAACCTCCCAGCAGATTCGAATTTGAAAATCTTTGCGGAATAACGGGCAGAAAGGCAGTATAATTTCATTGGTAAATTAGCAAATTATTGGCTGTCTATCGATAAGAACGCGTTACAAAATTTGATTTCATCAAGTTACTGTGTTAATTCTCATTATTTTATTTAAAAAGCAACGTTACCTTGTTTTCTTCTGTAAATTGTATCTTTTCGTTCTTTAAAAATAAACTGCTGTTTCCTTCCTTCGTTAGGACCAAAGTAT